AGCGCAAAAACTGCATTCGAAATGGTTTCTCTTATTTTTTTAAACACATTCTACGAACCCAAAAGAGCTCCATCAGGGTGGGGGGTACTTGATGCGAAAAAAGCCAATACGGGTACGGGCCAGGACCGATTTAATCACCGACTTCTTCAAAATCGTTTTCGAAAAAGGGATTTTGGACAAGTGGCTGATACGCTGGGATGGAAAACCACGTTTGCGAGGTGGGATTGGTTAATATTCCCCTTTATTACATATACATTGATATAAATATTCAAATATGAAAGTTTTGCAAATTAACAACGAAATCAATTGCCAAAATGTACCAACAGTTTTTATTGTTATACCCTATCAGTCAAAAGTTTGCAAAGCAGTGAGTCATCTCAGACCATATAAAGAATATATATTCTTAATCAGCACCAACAGCCTGAACAGTAAGTAACTATGATCAGTAAGTAACTATGAGCAGCAAGTAACTCTGATCAGTACGTATGAATGAAAATTAAGTAACTCTGAACAGTAAATATCTATGACGAGTAAGTAACTAAGAGCACTAAGTATCTATGACCAGTAAGTAACTATGATCAGTAAGTAACTATGAGCAGCAAGTAACTCTGATCAGTAAGTATGAATGAAAATTTAGTAACTCTGAACAGTAAATATCTATGTCCAGTAAGTAACTATATCAGTAAGTATAGAAGTATGTAAAGGGACCATGGCAAGAAATAAAGTGAAATATAAAGTCTAGAGCTAGGCCTGATCCCACCAACAGCATCATACATAATATAAATGTCATGGTTAAGACTTACCGCAGTAAAGGACACGTCATTGCTTACATCCTTCCAGTGTAGTGATCACGAATGGTGACTTCATCCACGTGGTGACTTCTTCCAGGTCATCCAGATGTTTTGAATTGGCCACGTCATATTTTTGAGCTCGAAGGCTGATCACTTGCACTATCACTACCGATGTGAACACTAGGTACCCCTAGGACAGACTGAGGCGCGCGCGACCTCAGCGCCTCTATTTATAGTCCCCGGGGAAAGAGAAGAGAAGAGAAAGTGAGTGTGAGTGCGCGGGAGAGGAGTTGCCTCTAGAGATTAACATAAGCGATAGCCATAGAGAGAGAGAGAGAGAGAGGGGGAGGCAGAGATAAACAGCGAGCTATTTAATTTAACTATAATAAATAAGTAACTATGAGCAGTAAGTAACTCTGATCAGTAAGTATCCACGAATATTAAGTAACTATGATCAATAAGTATCTATGGACAATAAATAACTATAATCAGAAATTAACTCTGAACAGTAAGTATCTGTGACCAGTAAGTAATTATGATCAGTAAGTATATCTGACCAGTAAGTATGTATGATCAGTTACTAACTTTGAACACTAATAAACAATGACTTGCAACTTTTGTAACACAACACATTTCTAAAACGTGGCTGGCAGCAGTCACTTCGTTCCGGGGATGTTAGAACGAGTTGAGAATCATACGCACAGATGTGCGAGATGTGTTTTGGAACAAATTTAAGTGAAAGCTATTTTATTAAAACTATGCAGTTATTCTTTTATATCATTTTACTAGTATATAAATCGGAGCATGCCAAATCGGTGGACTATATATAGATATATATACCTGATATTGGAACAATCGGACGATTTAAGAACCTATGTTCAGTAATTAACTATGATCAGTGATTAACTATGAGAGGTAAGTAACTAAGAGCAGTAAGTAACTCTGAACAGTAAATATCAATGAACATTAAGTAACTAGAATCAGTAAGTAGCTATGGTCAGATAATAACTATGATCAGTAATTAACTCTGAACAGTAAGTATCTATATTTAGTAAGTATCTATGACCAGTAAGTATGTATGATCAGTTACTTACTTTGAACACTAATAAACAATGACTTGCAACTTTTGTAACACAACACATTTCTAAAACGTGGCTGGCAGCAGTCACTTCGTTCCGGGGATGTTAGAACGAGTTGAGAATCATACGCACAGATGTGCGAGATGTGTTTTGGAACAAATTTAAGTGAAAGCTATTTTATTAAAACTATGCAGTTATTCTTTTATATCATTTTACTAGTATATAAATCGGAGTATGCCAAATCGGTGGACTATATATATACATATATATACGTGACATAGGAACAATCGGACGAATTAAGGAACTATTATCAGTAATTAACTATGAAAGGTAAGTAACTAAGAGCAGTTAGTAACTATGAACAGTAAGTATCTTGACCAGTAAGTAACTATATCAGTAAGTATCTAAAGTTTTTAAATATATGAGTAAGTATCTAAGTATGTAAATGTGACCATAGAAATAAGGAAATAAATTGGAATATAAATTCAAGACCTAGGCCTGATCCAACCAGCAGCTTCATACATAATATAAATGTCATGGTTAAGACTTACCGCAGTAAAGAACACGTCATTGCTTACATCCTTCCAGTGTAGTGATCAAGAATGGTGACTTCATCCACGTGGTGACTTCTTCCAGGTCATCCAGATGTTTTGAATTGGCCACGTCATATTTTTGAGCTCGAAGGCTGATCACTTGCACTATCACTACCGATGTGAACACTAGGTACCCCTAGGACAGACTGAGGCGCGCGCGACCTCAGCGCCTCTATTTATAGTCCCCGGGGAAAGAGAAGAGAAGAGAAAGTGAGTGTGAGTGCGCGGGAGAGGAGTTGCCTCTAGAGATTAACATAAAGCGATAGCCATAGAGAGAGAGGGGGAGAGGCAAAGAGAAGCAGCGAGCTATTTAATTTAACTACATATAACTATAACTATATATATATTTAATTTAACTATATATATACATATATGTACCTGATATTGGAACAATCGGATGATTTAAGGACCTATGTTCAGTAATTAACTATGATCAGTAATTAACTATGAGAGGTAAGTAACTAAGAGCAGTAAGTAACTCTGAATAGTAAGTATCAATGAACATTAAGTAACTAGAATCACTAAGTAGCTATGTTCAGATAATAACTATGATCAGTAATTAACTCTGAACATTAAGTATCTATATTTAGTAGGTATCTATGACTAGTAAGTAGGTATGATCAGTTACTTACTTTGAACACTTATAAACAATGACTTGAAATTTTTTTAACAACACATTTCTGTTCCGGGGATATTAGAACGAGTTGGGAATCATAAGCACAGATGTGCTAGATGTGTTTTGGAATTAATTTAAGTGGAAGCTATTTGATGAAAACTATGCAGTTATTCTTCTATATCATTTTATTAGTATGTAAATCGGATCATTCCAAATCGTTGGACTATATATAGTCCAGTATATATATATATATATATATATATACATATACATATACATATACATATAGAAATATATATATGCTATAGGAACGATCGGAAAATTAAAAAAAAACAAGAAAGGAAGCTAACATCGGCTCGCCGAAGTTTGTATATCCTTGCAGATAGAACTTCTTTGACTAGGAATCCATACAATATAAATTATATATATTTGTGTTTAAAACAATGAAGTAGTACCTGCTTTCATTTCATTCACCTATACATATTATATTTGCAGCTTTACATTCCCAGATTTGCATTTTTCCTCAACATCAAACGATCGTTTGTATGGCACCTATATGATATAGTCGTCTGATTTTCATGAAATTTGACCCAAAGTTTAAGACTAATATAAAATGGCTAAACCTTAAATTTGATGAAAATCAGTTGAAAACTGTAAAAGTTATAAATATAATTGTATTAATTTCTCGATCGTTCCTATGGGAGCTATATGATATAGTAGTCCGATTTTTAAAAAATTTTACAGAGTATAATAAAATGGCTATATCTCAAATTTGATGAAATTCTGTTGAAAACTGAAAATGTTATAATTTTTTTTGTAAAAATTATCCCATCATTTCTATGGCAGCTATATGATATAGTCGTCCGATCTGGCCCGTTCCGACATATATACGAGTGAGAGCATATAGAAGGCTAACTACTCATTCAGATAGTTTCAAAACTGTAAGACTAGTTTGCGAAGAAACGGACAGACGGACAGATGGACAGACGGACAGGAGGACATGGCTAGATCGACTCGGCTGCTGATCCTGATCAAGAATATATATATACTATATGGTCGGAGGTGCCCCCTTCACTGCGTTGCAAACTTCTGACTGAAATTACAATACCCTGCAAGGGTATAAAAATTAAAACTTGTAGAGGTGAATCAAATAAAAGCAGACGTTACTTCTTTTTTTTAACATAAGTGACTTAAGGGCGTACAAACACCTTAAATACCTTAAAAATTCCCAATTATATAGCTTATAAAATACTCATCGATCAGCCCTCGTTCCGAGCTCTCACACACGCATCTGTCCGTAACCACAAATGGCCAGCAGCTCGGCTAGGTCGGAGTTGCATTCGAAGTGGGTTGGGGAAAGGAAGTGGTAGGAGACCGCGAGGCCACTTGTATGGTGCACAAGTGGCGGTGCCACTGCAGCAGGACCATCAAGCGCTATCCAATCGCCATCCAATAAATTGCTGCCCCGGAGTGTGTCCGATGGCAACCAACTCAAGTTGAAATTGGTCAAAAGTTTAACATATTTGCGTGTGTGTGTCTGCGGGAAAAAGGGGAAAATGGTGGTGTTGGCCTTTCCGGTCGTTTTTGGCGCATTTTCGGGGTATAAACGGGTGGCGTTACCCACGACCAGCAGAATAAGGGGATACGAGCTTTTGTTTTTGTCGAGTGCGCCCCATCGCAATTTTTGGTACTTATATATGTAGGGGAACGGATAACTCAGCCGTTTAATCGTTTAACATGAGTAAACAAAAACTTAAAGCCAGCTTAAAACAAATTAAAAATTCATTTGGTTTCGGAAATTATAAAAATAAACAACTTCGGTATAGATAATCCAACAATAACTTTCGTACAAACTAAATAATAAATAGATAACATAAAGCTTACAATAAGTATAAGGGTATTCAACAAGTAATAAGGCTTCTTCGCTAGATTTGTATAGTGTATTTACTGCTAGTTTAGATTACATATTCAAAGTATTCTTTCCTCAATTTCACTTCAATATTTGACTAGTTTCAGCTAACAGATTTATTCATAACTACGGACTAAGCTTGTGCTTTTGAGTAGAGGTACAGAATTGCTGCTTGAGTATATGCATTCAATAATCTCACAAGGAACGTATTACGACTAAGGCCTCAAGGCGAAAGGCAGCGCCTACGAACTACCTCAGCATTGCGGGGTAACACGTTTTTTCGGCATCCGACAGCGCGCTAGGTAACAATCTAATCGGGGTAATACAAAGGCGTCGCACAACCGTTGGCAAGCTTTGACTAGCACTTTGAGATTCCAGTAAATGACTAAACAGATTCCACTGAGGGTTGGGTAAGAACCACTCTTCCCAGCTTGGCTTAGCTTCTCCTTGGCTTACTGCAGCACACAAACGGCCGAGGCACCGCTGTATTGGTTATTCAAGCGTCGTCGCATTCCCTCTAGGTAAATGTCACGGCTGAACAGGCCAGCAGCCAGGGGTATTCTATAAATAAATAATTAAAATGAATAAGTATTATTATAGTATTATTTGAAAGCAATCTCTTAACTGTTACTTTTAACACTTATTGAATTATCGATAGAAAAAACTTTTTGATTAAACAGAACCAAAACATTGCTATTATTGGCAGATTATCTATATTTATAATAATGATATGGCTTACGCATCGGTTCCGGCCCGGATGAGGGTTCGGAAGAGCGCCCAAACCGGCTTGTGGTCCGAGGTGGTTATCGACGGTACCGAGTCGTAAAGCAGACACTGGACATAGGGTTGCGTTGGCGTAGACACTCCCGGAACAAGGGTTTGACGACGGATGACAAGGCCTTGCATCTGGCGATACTTGTAGAGGATGCGGTCCGTATAGGCGGGTGCACGCTGCTTAGACGAGGTGTCAAAGTTCTGGCTGCCCGGATCATACTTGTACGTGGGTGGAAATGTAATGTTCGCCTCCATGAATCCACGGAAGGCGGCTCCATCGGCCAGCACGGAAGACAACTGATCCGTGTGCATGTAGCCGTGTGGTAGGTGCGATGGCAGCGGGAACTTCGTATTCTGTATCCACTCTAGCAGCTTCTCTCGTGGCTCACTCAGCCGGAAGTTTAAATCTCCGCACCAGAAAACATTATCAAAGTTCTGCGTTACATCCTTATTCTTGTGCCGCAAATTCGGCAGATTCCGAGGCAGATCCAAGGCATTAATAATCCGCTTCACGTCCGATACTCGCTCTTTCACCTTCTGCTGGTGCGCTGTCAAATGCGAGGTCACAAACAGCATGGAAGTGCCAAAAAGGCAAAAGGATATGGCAACCGCTCCCTTTGTACGAAAAGCTGATCCCGTGCGCACCGACATCGAGGCATCCTCCGGCGCCGAGCAATACCAGATGAGATCCCGCCTCATGTACACAGCCAGGTGGAGAGTGCCCAGTGTCGTTGAGTGAAAGAGCACGTGCGACGGTCCTAGTGTCTCCTGTATCATGACTTCCCACTCGAAACGATCCGGGCTGGACTCCTGGGTTCCCATCACCACTATGTCAGGAACATGCTCGACATTTGGCGGCAGCACAAAATCGTTCAGCTGTCTGTAATAAATAATTTATTATTAGTAATCCAAGTCGGAATATGATTGTTAAGACTTACTTGGGTGGACTGTGTCCGTTCATGTTCCATGTGCCTACGAAGATAGTGACCTCCTTCTGGGGCAGCACGCGGCTCAGTTCGCTGGGACCGAGCAGCGAGGTAGATCCCAGCCTGCCATCTAGGAAGCTCCGTTCCCTTGCCTTCTCCGCTGGGATAAGGTTCAAGGCATGCGCCGCCATCAGGGTCTGTCGGGCCAGATTTGAGCCCGATCCTTGTCGTTGAAGGGTCATGTTCTCGTGGGACATGAAACGCACCCCGGCCTGGTCCTGCATCGGTTCGATTCCATCGGGTTGGGTGGCAATATTAGGCGAGGACATGTGCTGTGGCGTGGTAGCTCTCTTTATATCCCCCGGCTCCTCAGCGGCGTGCAAGGGCGGCAGTTCCTGACCGGGTGGAAAAAGCTTAAGCCGCAGTCGAGAACGACAGGCGGACACGGCGATGGGTCTGATAGGTGACCGATGCTGAAGGCTCTCGCTCCTGGTCACTGAGGCATTGGCGGCAGCACTGCTACACTGCGCAAAGAACGTTTTACTGGCCACCGGTGACTCGGGGGCACTTGCGCACTCGCTTGATGGCCGCGGCCGCTGCGAAGATCCCTCGCTGGAATGCAGCGACACCGAGTTGTTGTCCACCATGCTCCAGCTTAAGGAGAGATTATCTCGTCTCAGAACGCTGTTGCCATCCGGTATGGAGTTATAGCGCACAGTCACTGGTGGCGTCAATGGCTTCTTTTCCGCCTTGCAACACAGGCTGAACTGGTGGCTAAACCTGTTGTGGTTCGGCGACCGATGCTTGGGCGATTTGCGTCGCATGACCACATCAGCACCGCCATCACTTTGGGAGCCCGCATCTGTGCTGTGGCGATGAGAGTGATTCTTGCCCTTCGAGGCAGGCGGCTTTGTCCGCCGGTGGAAGCTGATCAATCCGCTGTGCGACTTTTCCAGCGGCAGAGTTTGGCTCTTATGGTTGCTGCTGCTGTTGTTGTTCAGGTGGTTTCCCGAAGACTCAGCATTGCACTTGGCAAAGCTGACGTCATACTGACCGCAAGCAGAAACGGGTCTCTGCTGCGATCTTGGCGATTCGGGGGTCACGGGATGCGGCTCTACCTTGCTGGGCCGCTTGCTCAGCAAACCGAACAGGGAGCCAGCGGACTTGTGGCCGGATCGTGGGCTGCTGGTGGTGCTGGTTATTCGCTCCTCGCTGCCCGCCGTGCTGTGCTGCATGCTGGCGTTGCTTCTAATCAGTCCAATCCAAAATGTAACCAAATTAAAGGTGCTAACCGGACATCACGCGCTGGCACCAGCCTTTGTTAAGTTAATTTCTGCTATCTGGCGGATCTCGCGAGCTGAATTCATTGTGCCTGTGCCCGTGCCCGTGCCTTTTGTTGATGTGATTCTCGGCCTCCGTATTAATAGTTGTGCCGCACGTCATCGAACAATGCAAATGCGACTTTGCTCTCCGGCCTGCTCTTGGCTTGCCGCCGCTATGCAAATTATTTCGGGCCCGGCGATGACGTACTCGAGAAATCTGGCTAATTGGTGTGCTGCCGCCTGCTGGCAAGGATTGCGTGCGTGCCCGGCCCTGCAAGTTTTTAATGAATGCAAACAGTTAGCCGAGTGGCTGGCCCAAGGGTATACTTCACTTTGCTCACCTGCAGTCGCCTGGGGATCCTGGAGCCAGGAGCTGAAAGGATTCAAAAAATCAATACACTTGGCAATAACTGTGGTGACACCCCCGCGAACGTATTGTTACTGCCGCCACTTTGGGGGTGGCTCTCGGACGAAGGGTGGCGTGGCGACGACGACGTAACAACATTGGCATGCTGCGGCGCCCACACATCACCAAAGACAACGACAGCACTGAGTGAGCACCCGTCTACCGATTCTCTGGGATCGAGAGATTTATAATTAGCAGCCCATTGTTGCCGCCATCAGCCTTGTTGTTGTTTGTTGGCCTACGTCTAGCATAAAAGCAGCAACAACATGCGACATTCAAGTTCAGGTTCAGGTGCGAACAGATTCCGCGTCTGGGGTTACTCCCCGCCCGTCGCGCACTGTACCTGCTGGCGCCGCTGCCTCTATGCTGCCCTCATGTACGCGATTTATGTAATTTAAATCGGTGCCGAGCACCTTCGAGAGTTGTTTACCGCGAAAAACGATTGCCTTTGGAAATAATAATTTAATAGAGATGGACGAACCTCGATGAAACCATCGATTCATTGAAGCTTCTATAGCTATCGTAATCGATTTTCCGATTTGGCAATCGATTTTCTTTCTTTGCACATCCTTTTGAAATTAAACCCGTTACATTTAGAATTTTCTTTATAAAAATAATATACTTTAATACACTAAATTAAATATACCCCTGATAGACAGATATATCTACTCTTCTGGTCATACCTATCCCTCTATACTATTTGCAAATTTTAATGTTCCTTCCTTCATAATATTGGTAGATCGGTGATAAGACCATTCCCTGATAGACCGTCGCCTATAAAAGCACGGATAGCGGTTCGCCAAAATAGATTCGAATTAAAACATTGGGTAAAGATGCGCTGCCTGCTTCTCATTTCGCTAGCCACTTTGGTAATGTTGTTGTTAATTTATAATTGTGCGTTCTAATAACTAATAAAACCACAGTGCCTGGCCAGTGCTAGTCCGGTTCAACCGCAAAACAGGATCATCGCCCAATTTTTCGAATATTTCGATACTCTTCGAGGCATCCAGTTTGACAATATGCTGACCATCACAGTTAACTTTGTGCAGGCGGTCGTTGATAATGTGCCGGCAGAGGAACGTGGACGCGCATCGGCAGCCCTCCAGGCATATGTGAACCGTGGAAGGGAGCTCCGTCAGCGAGGCTCTGCCCAAGAAAAGTTCGAGCATGTCCAGAGTTTGCAGGAAGCCTTTACAAATGTACAGGGCCTGTTAATTCCTTCCTCGCCTGAAGCTAACATGATTGGAATGAGCATGCTGGGTCTATTCGTAGTAGCCCATGAGTTTGCCGAGGATGATGAAAAGCTTCACAAAAGGTTCGTTGAGGGCGCTACACAGATGAAGGCCAAGTTGACTCCGGCAACCATAGCTCGGGAGATCGAGCTCTTTGGCGTAATAGATGAGTTAATAAATGCTAACAAGTTTATAGAAAATGAACCCCTAATCGAAAGGTTCCTTAACTTTAAAAATAGATACTAAGCCTTGGTCTTCAACTTGTTAAAAATATTTGCTATAAAAGCTGGATTCAAATGAAAATAGAAAAGGTCTCTGAACTTTATTCTTAACCCAATGCCCCAAAATTGTTATCAGTGGTTCTGGGGATCAAGGCTACGAAACATTTAAACATATATTAAATATTCAATAATAGGTTTTGTTCCGATAAGAGATGTTTGCAAAAATTAAGCAATTCCTGTCATATGCTATTTTTGCCATTTAAAACACTTGATTGCAGTCCTACAGACCATATTTAATTTTGTTAAACGTTTTTTTCCAACAGACACAAAAATAAATTAAAAGATGAAAGCAATTGTGTATGGTGTGTTCAATAAAATTTTACCATTTTATAATATTCTAATTGGGCTTTGATTTTAATGGGTACCGTAGGTAATAAATTTAGTGTCTCGTATTATTCAGAATTTTTGAAAACTCCGTGATTTTCATGCGAATTTGAAAGCTTGAATATAGTGGGAACGACATTTTTAAATTTCTAAGTAGATGACAGCCACACTAGCTTTATCGCGGTCCGATAGCGAAATCGATTGTGCATCGGTGGGCAGAACTCACATCTCTTGTATTTCGGTGCGGTTCAGGATTTTAAAAAAGTTTTCACGGCGGACGCGAACACTATGGCGGCTCAGACAATACTCTTCGACTTTACGCTGGACAAGGACAAGACCAGCGACGAGAAGCAGCGCTTGGAGGTGGCCAAGATCCTGCGCAACGAGCTAGAGCACGTCTTCCCGCAGCTGGAGTTGGCCTACTCAATGGAGTCGCCGGAGAACGGATACTTTGCGGTGCTGCACGAGAACAAGGACACCGTGATTACCTGCCGGATCTTCCAGCACGGCCTGCTGACCCTCAACGTGGAGTACTTCCTGCCCGACGGCAAGGATGGCATCTCCTTCGACGTACGTACTACAATTTTAATATTTATCGAACATCCCCCTTCCCTCCCCCACAACTAATCCCAGCCGTGTACCGCAACTTTCGGGTTATCGCTGACGGCAGAATTGAGAAAGGATTTTCCTTAGCTCCAAGCGAAATTGATTTTCCCCCTACACACAAATACTTATACGCCGCGCCGATGCACGAGTGTGTTAATATATGCCGGTGTGTTCGGGGTGTGCGTCGCGTGCTCTTGACCGACCTGCTTTCCACTTCGACCCGCCCTTTTGTGCAGAAAACCAACCGGCACTTGGTCAGGGTCAGGCCAGGCCTTCCCAGCGTCCTTGGCCTCAAGTGGCCCCCGTCAGCGGTCGCCCCCTGCATTTATTTTATTATCTAACACCTCTTCGGCAACATACACATGTGTATGTAGGCCCCCCACCCCCCTCCTCCAGCTTGGCTTTGATAGGTTAACTTGACGCCACCGTTGTAGTCCGCAGTCTAGTTTCCTCCGCATTTGGGCGGCGCACGTGGGTCCGATTCCGAGATCTATTGATTGCCGATGAGCCCATAGGCGCATAGGTCTTATACAACAACTATTAAGCCCGCCTGGAAACATTAAATAGTCCGTTTAGGGCGCTAATTCTTTACTCAAAATATTTATCTAAATGTTTAAAGACAGATTTGTTTTAATTTCTTTATAATATTTGTTTTTTTGTCACTTGTTTGGCTGCACACATTAGACGACTATGTGAAGAACCTGTCTATGTGTGCCTATAAAATTAAAAACGAACAGCTGCGACCACAAAAATAAATGAATATATATATATTTAAATTATGTAGTCAAGAAAACAATTAATCTAAAAAAATTAGGTGTACCTCTATGGAATACTACCTAATATATGATCACAGATGTACATTGTACTGTATGCAGCTTTAATTTGCAAAGGTCTTATTATTGTGAGCGCTGCTGTCTTATAAACGCGGAAATTTCCTTATCTAGCCGGCAACGGTATTCTATGTTCTGTTTACGACTGTTTGCTGCGAGGGTTCAGCAATTTCGCAATCCGAGTGTATGGTTAAGCCCTCTATTGTAATTTATTGTATATTTTTATTTGCCATTTTGCAATAAGTCTCCGTATACATGCCTGCACTTTGCGGTAAGCGGCACATGCATATTTATATGGCGCGCTATATATTCCCTTTTGGTTCTATTCACTTTCCTTTTTCATAAGTATCAAGTATTTGGACTAAAAATAGTTTTTGTTGGGCCGGACGGGCTGCCTGTGTCGTAGTCATCGTCGGCGTCGTCTTCGTCTTCGTCTGGTGTGAGTGGGGTGGGTCGTTCGAAGAGTTTCCGTTGCCCGGAATGAAGGTCATCCTTCCATTATTTTAATTTATTCATCGTGCCGTTGAAGGACTTGAGTAAGAAATGGAAATTACCATTGCAGACCATGCGCACTGTGGAACTGATTCTGCGGCAGAAATTCGGTTGCGATCGGTCCAAGTACTTGCCCCCGATTAAGCGCGGCGGATATATCGACATATACATGACTAGCTCAGGTTGGTCAAACTTACTACCAAAGTCACAATGAAAAATAAAAAAACAGAATACCGTTTAGTTCCTGCTAGTTCTATATGCAAACTATATATCTACTTACTCGTACTCACTCAACATACAACCGAAATTCTCTTTCAAAAATTCCACTGCAGAATCTAGAACACCCCGTGCAGTTTGTCCACTAGTATTTCCAATTGCCGCCACCGCAAAACGAAAAGAAAAACCATCATGACCATCACCAAGAATTGGACACCTGCCTCTGGGTCACCGAATCTCGGGCTCTGTACATAAATTCACTTGAGCGTCATGACCACCAACAAAATTCGACCTGCCTTGTAATCTCTGCACATTCTCACACCCACCGACCACGACGTTAGCTTCCTGGCATTGCTCCTAGTTGAGGATTACTTCTCTAGCCCGTTCCTGCATGCAAGTTTCTCCAATCTTTCAGGCGGTCTTCCTATTTTCTCAGCAGTAATGTCAACTTGATCTTTTTACACTAAAACAAATATCATTAAAAAATAACAAATATTAGATTCCCAATTATAAATTAATAAAGAAGTTAAAAGCACAAGGGATGTACTATAGTTGTTTTTAACACTTTTAGCCGCTACTTTTCATATCCAAAAGATAAATTGGCATTGCTGCTGGTTTAGCTTCCCTTCTTCACTTATTCGATATTATTTTTGTTTGAAATAAATTTTTTATTTTCATATCTATTCAATCGACACTCGACCGTTCCATCGACCATCATGAACAACCGCTGCCACCATCTCCTGGATTCCAAATTGCAACAAAATTGCCGCGAAATGTGAATCAATGTGTACAAATATTGACCTGACCAATACTTTCGCCCCAACGCACATGTGTCACCTGCCCCGCCTCGTTCTCGTATCTACGCTCGCTCATAATTGGTACCTGAACTTTCTACAACACCTTCGACACCACCACCACGAACAACAACAACATTTACGTTCAATAAAATATACAAAATAATAGGAGACTAAGAGCCTGGAGAAGATCCTGGCGATCAAGCTAAAGTGCATCAAGTCGCAGAAGCTGCCGACGCTGAAGCGCGGCGATGTCTCCAGGTATTTCCCGTCGTCAGGTAAGAGGCAATCTCAATCCGTATTGCAACTAGAGCAATTACCCATAATACTGCTACTGCTGTATGTCATCTGAAACGTGTGTGAACGCAATGTGATCGTGTGTCGTTCGTTGAGCGTATGCAGCACCATCGAGCTGATGTTTTCAGAGTTCTTCTAGTGGCGCACCCAGCATGATAGATCATTTCAGTCATTCGCCGTTCAGTATTCAGATTCTACCGCCTGTCCTTTTTTATATATTTTGTTTCTTTCTCCTTTAGATTGTTATCTTTTTGTCTAGCCAAGTAGTTTCTTTGCATGTGCTGCCTAACAATTAAACGGAAATCAGTACTACTAGTAATAAGTTTTTAGTTATACTTGGTACCGAGGAACCCCTAATCCAATTTAAATCTTTCGCAGATGAGCGCATCATCGAGTACGACATTGACCAGGTGGTCTACGAGGCGCGGTCGCCCTTCCAGAAGATTCAAATCATGCACTCCAAGACGTTGGGCAACATGCTGCTGCTGGATGAGCTGCAAAGTAAGTAGGACACACAGAAACAGACTTGCCTGAGGTGTCAAGGCTGCCAATCGATTGGTGGTCGTGTCTCTCTTTAAAGGTCAAAGCTACTAAACCAAAGCTTAAGAACCAATATATGTATATATATTCATAATTTTTTTCTACCTCTAGACATTGCTGAATCCGACTTGATCTACACCGAGACTTTGATGTGCCGCGGTGTTGAAAACTACGAGGGCAAGGAGATATGCATCCTAGGCGGCGGAGACGGAGCCTTGCTGTATGAGCTACTTAAGGAGAATCCCAAGCATGTGGTGATGCTGGAGATCGATGAGATTGTGATGCAAGCGTGCAACAAGTACCTCAGTGTCATCTGTGGTGATGTTTTGGAGAAACGCAAGACCGACCAGTACGAGATAATTGTAGGCGACTGTGTGGAGTATTTGAAAAAGTTCATTGCCGAAGGCCGCAAGTTCGACTATGTGTTTGGGGATCTCACAGATATCCCCATCACGGATGCACCCGTTGGCGAGACTTGGGACTTTATCCGCACAATTTTCGAGCACTCGTTCAAGGTGCTGAAGCCGGGCGGAAAGTATTTGACTCACGGCAATGGCTCCACCTGCAAGGTGCAGCTGCGCCTATTTGAGGAGCAATTGGATCTACTAAGGCCCAAGGTGAAGTACACCACCACCAAAGCCTTTGTGCCGTCGTTCATGGAAGAGTGGCTCTTCTACCAGGTGACCTTCGCCTGACAAGCTCAACGGGAATACCCAGCAGCAGCATTAGCTACTTCCAGCACCACTTTCACACCACCAGCATCACACAGCATCAGTCAGGAATCAAGAGCCGCCATCGGGGAACCAGTCCATTGTCTGCACTCCTACACAGTCACTCTCCATGGAGCAGTTGCTGTTGGAGGAGTAGAAGGAAGGCTTGAGCAGGAGAAGGGGCAGTTGAAGCCGCGACCCAAGCGTCGGCAGAAGCGAGTGCACTATCACCACGCACTGGTTTCGTAGTCCCAGAAAGGAAGCAACTGAGAGCACATCGCCAGCATCGAAATCCGCGACAGAGAACCCAAAAACACGCACTTCCAATGGCTGTTACTTACAATTGAAAACCAAACCAAATATTGAACCCAATTCGTTTATGTTTAAGTTAGGCTCTAGTTCCGTTTCTCGTCCACTTATTTCAACGCTAAAATTAAGTCAAAAGTACAACCTTCAAGCAAGGACAGGCTAAAGTAACTTATATACCCGTGTTTATTTTCAATTAAGCCTAGGCATAGCATGTTGGCCAATTGTATTTGTAGTATTTTCGTATAACGTGTATATCTATCTATAGAGCATAAATATGTTTAGTTATATCCATTAACGAGTGAATTGTAGCGGGGGCAAAAGGCTCAATCGAGAACGTGTGTATGGAAGTGTGAGCGAAGCGAAGCAGAAAACACCATCTTTTATTGCTGTAATAACAAGTAATACCAAAATATTTTAAACAGGAGTTCTTACACAGTAAATATATAGTCGTACGCAGAAATACAATGTCTTGTTTTCACTCTGGGAAACCTATTCAATCTGAAGATTTAATTTAAAATATCAATCAAGTAAATAAATGAAAACATTTAAATATCGCGCCGATTGCTTTTGTGTTTATTAATTGCCTCCCTCTGCTTGATTTATGTCAATCGATGATTTTATTAATCAGAATACGGTCGCACTTTCTTTTTTTCTCCCAGACACTGTTTTGTCAGTGATGAACCCACGAATAAAAGGATTCTCAGAAAAAAAGTTAAACATAAAAAAAAAGAAATGATTAAAACATATATATTCAAAAAACCACACAAAGCTACAAATATATTAATAAAATCAAATAATTTAGCTCCCAACGTAACATGTATTAATTGCTATTATAATACGAAATGGAAAATATAAAATATTTATCCATTTTCCTTTAAAAAAAAAATCACGGATGAAATGATTGCCCACATATGATCGATAAATATTTCATAAAAAGCTATTTCTATGATTATAAGCTATATTAAAATTTCATAATCTCTTCCATATTCAAATATGCCAGGCCTTGCCTATAATAAGCTAAGCTGGCCACACTGAGTTCAACAACAACCCTGGCAGCGAAACAAAACTCGACAAATTATTAAATTTCCTAAGCGTAACGTCAATAGTTTCGGATATCAAATAAAAAACCTTTCGGCTCACCGAGTTCCGAAATAAAATCCACAAGGCTGCAACATCCGCATTTAGCATTAGCGCCCACAACTAAATTGACTTAATTAGGTGAGAAAGGTGGAAAACGGGGAGAACGTGGTCGCTCGCAGAGCCACATTTTCATTTTGCGGGGGTGAAATGTTGTAGTTGTACAGTATCGTGACACGTTTGGATTTCGCTATTCTACGATTGGCGGTGGATCGAAAACGCGTTTCCTGTGAAGATAATCTATCCAGCAGCTGCTGCTGTTGGTGCTTGGGTGTGTGCGGGCGAGAAGGTGAAAGTAACTGCGCTTCAGCTGCCGTCGTCGTCGTCGTCGTCTTTTCCTTTTGTCTTTGTTGCAAATCCCGTTTAAAGCCCAACAATAACAACAACAACAGCGAAAAATAAACACTGTTGATTAATGAGGTTTTTGCACAAATTCCACTTAAACTTCCACTTTGTTTTGGTTACACAGCAACTACTAAGAGCCATGGCACGCGGGCACCAGAAGATCCAATCGCAGGCGAAGACCGCCGAGAAGCAGGCCAAGATGAAGAAGCAGCAGGGCCACAGCGCCAACGACCAGAAGAAGGCCGCCCAAAAGGCTCTCGTCCATGTCTGCGCCGTGTGCAAGGTAAGATGATAGCCCAAAGATTACCCAATTAATAGTTAAATCGAAATCGATTGAAATGAGTACTAAAAGCATATTAAAAAGATTGGTTTATCCCTCTCCCGTTCCATTTTTCAACTTTCTAAACTCCATACTCCTTTGAAAGGCATAAATACTCCTTGTAAACTTTATTCAATATGCCTTGGTGCATGTAAAATATAAACGTTTGTTTACACCAACCGTACCGTGCACAGATAAACAATAATTACTAATTGTCAAACTAGTAGTAGTAGTTTAGGTAGAGCATTACATTAATAGGAAATCTAGGTTAATTTTAAACTCTAAATGCCTAGAATTGATTTGCTGAATCTAAGAAAAGCACTGGTATTGGCTCTCAACGGATAGCTAATGATTATTCTTGATAAGTAACTCTAGTATATCTTATCAAGGTTGGTAAATTTAAAATTTTTTTATATCTGGTTTAAAAGACTATTATAAACCAAAGGGCAGCGTGTCGAAGATGCATGCTGAAGCCAAACAAAAAGTTGTTTTTTTTTTAAGGTATTTCCTAGATCCAAAAAATACAATCTAATAAATAATCCTCTATAAATTTCAGTCACAAATGCCCGACCCCAAGACATATAAGCAGCATTTCGAGAACAAGCATCCCAAGAACGACATGCCCGAGGAGCTTAAGGACGTCTGATGGCCGACCTCGCCCTGCGCTTACACTTTAATGCATATATCAAGCTGAACGGAGATCGTCGGAGTTGCCTACCAAGTACGAAACCTTTGCAACAATAAGTTTACATCAGCCCGAACAAGAACAGCAACAATCAAGCCGAAGGGAGGGGTGGATAACAGCAAAAAAAAAACGAATAATGATATAATTGCCAATGCAAGGATCGCAGCTGAATTTTTTGTCTACACAAACTGCTGACTTTTGGTTTTGGTTTTAGTTTTACTCAAAAAAAAAAAAAAACAACATTGAAATTAACACAGTATGCAATTGTTCGATGAAATGGCCACACAATACAAAGCAACTATACCGCATAGCATCATAAAAATGTTTTTCATTTCCACATTTGTTTATTAGTTAGCCCATCCAACGACAAGAGACAACAACAATAATTACGACTCTCTCTGCTCCGTTTTTGATAGTTGATTTGGTTTTCTTTTTGAAACAACGATTATTACAAGATTTTATAGTTTTATATACGATTTTTGTGAAAGAAAACCAATGTTTTTTGTACTATATAAACAATTGAGTAAATCATGTACATGAGAATTTATAAATACAATAAAAAGAGAAAAAACTGTTAAAAAAAAAGGAGAAACTGGTTTTGCAGCATTGTCTTAAATCTACAGTTTAAATGCAAAGCACTTCCGTCATTCCAATACTCTTATTAACAATAATAATTAAAAATATGAGATTACAACTGGCTAGTATTTCATGTACAAAAGCACATATCGTTCAAGTGATAATAAATATTATTTAGAGCGAAATATAGGACTATTTCCTGTGTCTCCGAACTTGTATCAGTTCCCTGCTATTATGAGGATTTCTTCAATTCATTGTCAGAAGTATCAGTTTCAATATATTCCCCAGTTATTGCTGCAGCTTCAGCTAGCGGCCCTTCCCCGTGACTAATCTGCATGAATACTAAATCGTCTTTGGCCGGAAAATCAGCGAGTACTGTGATACCAATGTTATTATCCGGCAGGTGAGGCGTCTCCTCGTGATAGCCAAACCAATAGATGATTAGGCCAGGTCCAAAGCTGTGAAAAATAGATTTAATTAGTAGCCAAGACAAAAATCTCTAGAGTAAAGCTAATTCTTCCACGAAATCCCTACCGATTACAGTAGCTATGCAGCTGCTGTTGAATGTTAAACTTGTGTCCTTTGGTATCTCCGAAATTTGCCTTGCTCTCGATCCAATTAATCACTTGGCCTTTGTAGAGGAATGGCAGTATCATCTTAATGTCGGGCGTCTTGTCATATCCCATGCGCCGGAGATCTTGTTCATCGTAGAAGTGTATGCCCGCCTCCTTGGCCAGTTGCTTGAGCTTCAATTCGTATTCCTCACCCATAATGCGGCGACGCAAATCCGTAATAGGGCCCTCCTGATTATCACTTATCAGACACTGCTGGACGTTGGCCGCCAACCGTGGGTCCTCGATGAGATGCGGATGCTTTAGCATACGTGAGATGTGCGATCTGGGCTTCAACTTATACTTTTCTTGCAGGAGCGTCCGGCAGACAGTAATTGGATTTATTCCCTCGGCACAGGCCATTTGAATTAGTAGATCGTTGTCATAAAGGTCTTTCTGATCCTCGTACCTGAGAATAAGAAAAATACATTAGTAAAAACGACATGGCAAAGTAAACTTTGCGAGCCTCAGAAACGGAATCAATTTTCTTCTTACGCCTTCAGCAGCTTCTTGCCCCGTTGATCGTGCTTCCAGTGCTGACCACGGGACCGGTTGATAAGCTCCGACTGCAGGATACAGGTGAGGGCCATAGGTTCGACTTCCTTGAAGAACCGATTCCGGAGCTCGAACTCGCAGTCAATGGCCAGGCCATGGTATCCATTGATGAACTGGCAAATCCGCATGTACTCCACACTGCCCAGTATCTTCCTCGTCGCCGGCAAATCCCCGCCAGCTCGTGACATTTTTTGTTTATGGCAAATAAATAAAATTACTTTTAACAAAAGGAAAGAGCGCCAGAATGAACAGCTGACTGAATTTTGTTACCCGATTGTGCACTATTATCGATAACTCGATTGTTTTAGTGATGTGCGCGGCTATGGTGACTATTTGAAAATTATAAGTAATAATAATAAATACTATTAATGTCATTTAAACTCAATTTCATTTTAATTTAGATATATATTTATTGTTATTACTTGTATATCCTTATACCTAGCACGGGTTTACGATCCACTTTCACTTTGTTAACACGTTTTTCTACTCTTTTTTTTGCGTTATGCAAGTTGGTTTTGGTTTCCCAATCAATATATAACTACAAATTGTTATTGTTTATTAGTGTGTGGTATGCGGATATTTGTCTGGGTTTATGCAAATGTGTGCTCCACCATTTACTTAATACTAAAATATAAATAAGCTTGTTTTTTTTTTTGTTTTCTTCGTAAATGCTATTCTTATTTATCATTTGGAAGCAAAGTTCATTCATCCATTTTGCTCGGTTTAATAACAACAGTGTCTAAGAATAAACTAAATGAGATACAAAAGCGTATAATAAATAATAATAATATTTTGGAAAATAAATAATAATGTTAAAATGTTTAGCTGTCAAAAGGCAACAAACGAAAAAGGACTGCTTAATGAGTGGGAAGTATATCCTCTAAAAAGAATATTATAGGTTCAGATCGAGGGTCAAAAACTTGGATTCAACAATAATTAATATTTATAAAACGTTGGGACCTCTGCTCTTTCGAGAGATTCCGCGCTGGCTTACCATCTACGAGTAACAATATTAAAAGGTAAAGGCTTATATATTGAACTTACGTCTAAGGCGTAAATTTTAGGTTTAATTGTTAATTTTACTATTTTGAAATGTGTTTTTTTTGGGCTAGTTCCTAACGTTGTTCATTGTAAGTATATATATATATTTTACTTCGTGGTTTTAAGCTTAATAAGCTGAACACCCCTGTAATATTAGGGTTCACTAAAACTGACCATACTAATTGTTTTCGAAGACATTTGCCATTTGATCAATTTAAAATAATAAATACAAAACTGAGTCAAAGATCTTATAATAACAAGATGCCTAACGTTCACACATTAAAATTACCATTAAGCAAGCATTCTTTAACCAGTTCTAGTACGACAAATTCGAGAGCAAAAAATCGTTATTCATCTTGTTACTATAAAGTCTTAGATTAAGTGGAGTTGGTCGATCGAAATATTGCACCATCTAATTTCGGACGCACTTTCTTCTCTTATTTCTTATGTCTAATTATATTAATACCAATATTGTTACTTGGACTCAAGAGCTCATGGTTTTAAGATTTACAATAAATCGAATTCGTTTCTATATTTAATATTTGATTTTGTTGTTTTTTTTTTTCGAGAGAAGGCATGGGTTATGAGCTAGTGATTTCCACGAAATACAGAGCCAGCAACATCTAGATATTATTTTTTTCTATAATTAATTGCTGTAGAAGCTTATAAAATTACGTACAGAATGAGAAGTGTGATGGGGATGAACAGAAGAGGGGGCAATGCTGACTTTAATACTATTTCTTGTCTAACAAACGCGCTCAATAAACAATTAACAATTAATACATTCCGATTTTATATACTTCTAGACAACGCCGGGGAGAGATTAGATTTGGCTTCGACTTGTGGATATATTGTTAGTAGAAATGCGGCGGCGGCAACGTTTGCGAGGGCAACGTCGACGGCTGCTGCTCCCATCAGACAACAGAATCCTTGCGTATCCTGGACATTTGTTAGCATGTTTTTTTTTTGGGATGGAAAGATGAAGACAAAACAACAAGAATGGTTAGTGAATGAAGATTAGGTTGAGGGAATAGAGTGATGCTTAAAACTGCTTTCGCACCACATATAGTTCTCAGTCTGAGGTGCCCGCATAACGCCCACACCGCCGCCCAGCCGGCGATAGTTCATGCAGCCGCACAAGCGCCATTGATTCGTTTCTGGGTCATACACTTCAATGGTCTTTAGATAGGCCGACCCATCAAAGCCTCCCACGGCATATAGCTGCCCATTTACCACGGCCAGGCCCACCTAAAAAGAGATGCATATTATAAGTTATTAAAAATTAAACGCATATAGCAATGGGCGAAGGCCAACTCACCCCGCTACGGCGCGAGGTCATGGCCACGATGGGGCTCCAGGTGTTGGTCAGTGGATTGTAGCGTTCGGCGGACGAGAGCTCCATGCAATCGTCCCGCCCGCCTACGGCATAAATGTAGTTGTTGAACACGGCACATCCCAGGTGCTTACGCCGCGTCGACATCGGGCTAACGGCCACCCATTTGTTGTGTCTGTAAAATTAGATTTTATTTCATTTAAGGACTCAAACTTGGTTAATTTATAGCACACCAACCTGGGGTCGTATCGCTCCACGGTGTTTAGCGGACACTGCCCATCGGAGCCACCTATGGCATAGAGGAAGCCACCCAAGACGGCCACGGCCACACCCAAGCGACGTGTGGTCATCGGAGCCACCTTGGACCATTTGTTCTCCTTGGGATCGTAACGCTCCACGTGATTCAGGCACTGGACGCCATCCTGGCCACCCACCGCGTACAGGAAGCCATCGAGCACCGCCACACCGACGCTAGTTCGGCAGGAAGTGGTGGGCGCCACATCGCAGGACCATTGATTAGTTTGTGGGTCATACCGCTCAATGCTGTTCAGGTAGCTCTGCCCGTCGTGGCCTCCCACCGCGTACAGCAAGTCATTAAGAACGGCCACGCCTACGCCGCAGCGACGTTTGCTCATTGGCGCAACCATTTTCCAGTCATTGGTCTGAGGATCGAATCGCTCCACAGAGGCGATGGCATCGCCGGAGCACCATCCGCCTACGGCGAACAGCACTTCTCCGCGTCGCGTCGGTTTGCGGGGTCGAGTGCGTGGGCCCTGCATTAGCGGCCGCTCCTGCGGCAGCAGAAGGTAGTTCTTGGCCTCATCCACTAGATCCCGGCAGGCCTCGTCGCTGCGCACTAGGAGATCAGAGCCCACAGTGCCGACAAGGAACTTCGGAGAGAGTAGGGGCAGACGGACGTGTTGCAGGACCTTGAATAACACAATTATACATTAATTATGATGAAATTTTTAATAATAGTTAATATCTTCTCACTTGTGCCAGGTGCTGCCGCCTCTCAGCGACATTATACTTCAGCCAGGACATGACTGCATTGAAGACCTGCTCCTCCGAACGCACGTTTAGCTCGTCGCTGCAGATAATGTCCACCAGCTGGCCAACGGGCAGCAGCAGGAACTCCTCGCTCTCCATTACCTCCTGGAAGTTGTGCTGCGTGAACTTGTCGGCGATACGCAGGAGTTCGCGGCAGGAGTGTGTGTCGGCAAAGGCGCGAATGCCCAGACAGTTGGTGGGGTCCAGCTGACGTTTGAGGAACTCGCAGCATATGTCCTGAATCTCAACCAATTGCAGCAGGCAGGCGGCTGGCAGGAGTGTTTGGACATTCGACTCCTCGACAATGATGTGGGCGGTGTAGCAAAAATCAATGAGCAACTCCATGGCATTCTCGTCAATGTCTCGTATGGTGACCTCTGTCTGACGCGACTCCTCCAGCTCCCCAGTGAACATGGCACAAAAGTAGGAGCTGCAGGCGGACAATATTACTCGATGGGCGAAAATCTTCCGCCCGCCAACGTTGAGCACGACGTCGCAGAGCTCCCGATGGCGCCGCAGCATGTTGAGTTCCGTGAGTGTGACCTTCGGGTGCTTCTCTGATGTGTGTGAGAGGCGAGCAGGCGACGGCGGTCGGTCGAGGCCTGTGGAACCGCCGGAGGAGCCGCCGCCGCCTACCGTCGAGTTAATGCCCGTTCCGCCCGTGATAGTGGGACCCCCGCTCCCGCCACCGGCACCGCCGCCCACACCGCCAGCGCCACCGGTGGAGCCCGGCAGGTCGCCCATTCTGTTCGCTGCTAAGCGCAGCGGGCCGGAAGCAACCCAACCCCACACGGCGTCTATCTGTGTTGATGAAATGTAGAAATGTTACAATAATTATGGCATCTCGATTGTAGTCAAATGATAATTATCAATGAATTTAATTCATTTATTTAGGGAAAACAAAATTACCAAATTATGAAATCAAACCGATTGGGAAATCAGGGCAAAAATTAATTTAATCTTTGCAGAAACAAAAATTTAAGTGGATGATAAGATAAGCAAAGGTAAGGCTGGATATACACAAGGTTTAATTGTTGATGAGAGCGCCTTTTAAGGCGCTCGTGCAAAAAAAAAAAAAGAAACAATTTCGATTAATTTCCTTTTCCTCCACCAACTTTAGTGCCGCCCACACACAGACACGCTATGTAACACACGCACATTCACTTGTACTCAAGAACACCCATAAGACCTTTGGGGTGGACCTCTAATTAGGCGTAAATTTGGTATATTCACGGCTAAATTTTAATGTATATATCTTTATATGTATAAACTTTTAACTTTTAATAATAATTTAAATTTCAATAACCACAGAATAGGCAAAGCACAAGTAATCACAACCAATATGTATGTATTAAAAGTAGTCAAGGTTACTTTCAGGAGCTTGCGTGTATGTAGTAATTATTTAAAAACTGATTTATTGTGAGGTTTTTTAAGCCAACATGGACGGATTAAGGTACACAATACATTTTACAAGCAATCAGGTCCACCTTAACGCGGAAAAACACACACACACTCGGGCAGATTTATGCTGATGTGATGTAGGTGTCCCAACCTTTGCGTCTCTGTTATCCACGGATACAAAGCACGTCCACGGCCAACTGCAGGCGGAAAATTTCGAAAATGCAATCTTGCTGCTGGCTTAGGGCGACCACATCGAAGATTTTCCTTGCGCCAAATGCACTTTTTTGCAGGAAAAACTCGGTTTTTTGTGGCCTGGAAAAGTCGAAACACACGGTACGAAGGTATTCAGCGTGACCATAACTGTACCGTCAAAATATACCACGAGGTTCTGCACAGAAAAAAAATACTAAATTCTGTTTCATAAAAAATAAATAACTAAAATTAAATAATTAACTACAAATGTTGATGAAATATCTTGAAGAAAGCGAAGTAATACATTCCTTTTCCCGTAATTTTCTATTCGTAATGGCAGAAACTTATTTTTCATTCATGAAGTATATTCTGGCAAGTCTCCGTGCCTGCGCAACCCATATAAAAAGTATATTGCTAGGCATTGATATTTAGAAATCTTCGATTTAAAAATAATTAATTTTTGGCTTACTTTTGCATTAAAAGTATTTATGCGTTGACCAATTTTGTCAATACAATGTCAGTTTAATTAAAAATTCTTTCAATTTCGGTATTGGGCCACAGAAAGGAAAAGATTTCAGTTGCAAATAATGCACGGGTCTAAAATGGATTATTGTTTCAAGTTTCCTTTTAAAAAGGCATACGCTAACATTTTTTATTCCATTTATTTAATTTAATAAATTAATGGTGTCATTACATTTCTTTATTTAATAGACTAAATAAATATTAATATTAGACACACTTAAGCCTAATAGCCATTTTAAGTGTGCTAGAAAAAGCTAAAATGGCTACACTGCAGACAGTAGATTTTGCAATGCTGGTATTTTTATCCTTTTTGTTAGAGCTGACAAAAAGTTGATGATTTCCACTATCGCCATGTACAAATTATTACATTAAAAAATGTATATATTATTCATGTTTAATTAATGGTTTCGTTATCGTTCTACTAAATAATAATGTAAAGGAGTACATAACAAAGTGAATGGAAAATGTAGTTTTCAAATTTAAAAAAATAATTATTTTTTATTAAAACATCGATACTATATCCAAAATTCGATAGTTTAGAGAGTGCCCCCATGGTTTGCCACCTCTATTGTATACGCGACGCTGACGAGGAGAGGAAGAAATTTTCCAGAAGTTGCAAGGCCCATTAAATAGTGCAAAATAGTTACTAAATTTAAGTTCAACGTGTAAATAGATATAAATCGGATCGCGACAATCTCTTGGGCAGCGAATTCGAAAGTGGAAAAGTACGTGAATACGAAAAGAAAAATATATCGCGAGTGTGTGACTGTGTGCGTGCGTACTAAAGTGGAGCGCACACCGTGGATGGCTCTCCACAACAACACAGCAGCAACAATAAATACAGCAATAGAAACAACAACATCAAATGCAGAAAATGTTGAGAAAATCACAGAGAGAGCGGGAGGCGAGAGAACAATAGCGAAAGCGTTAGAATGTAAAGCAATCGAAGCATTAAATAGAGTACAAGTACAGCAATTGCATTGGAAAATCAAATTCGTGCGACAAAAGCGGACGATTGCAGAAATTTTCGAAACTTGGCAGCCATATTTACTACAAAAACAACGCCGTTGTAAAAATACGTGACAAAACGCTTACACACGTTCATACACCCACACACTCATACGCCAGCCAGCTCACACACACACACAAGCGCGTATTGAAGGAAAAGAAAAACGAACGAGAGGATAGAGACAGAGCAAGAGAAGAAGAGAAAGAGAGACGCGAACGACGTGAATTAACAAACAAACAAGAAATATTTTTGCGAAAAAGACAAACACAAAAAATTCAATAAAGTGTATTACATAAACAAACAGAGCGTCTTCGATATTATGGAAATTGCGCCACTGATAAATAACGCCGTTGCTGTCGTCACAGCCTCTGCCACCGTCGCTGCCTCTGCCTCTGCCTCGGCCAACGTCGGCAGCAGCAAGGAGAATGATAACGGTAAAGCGGGCCTCCATAGATTGATAAGCTAAAACTCTGGAATGGGATCCACAATAAACAATTACAATAATATGTATTAGTATACTGTGGGAATTTCCTACGACGCATATTCATTTAACCCGAAAATCCCCTAATATTTATCCTAACCCTATCCACTTCGAATGTCAATATTTATGTTAGTTTCTTAGTTGGAAGTTAAATACGTGTTTTAAAAAAAGTAATGAATCCATAGCTAAAAGGGATTATAATAAATAATCTACCTTTTTTTATATTTTTGATTTTTTCAATCAAATAAATCAAGTAAAAATAAAAGGATGTGTAGAGAATAACATGCATATAAATAAATGTAAATATTAACAGATTCAGTGTGTGACTGCATAAAGTATATGAACTTTAGCGAAGCCTGACTGTAAGTGCAGTGCCATAGTTGCACCAACACACGCCCACGCTAGCGAGTGTACGCGTACATTGTGTGCATGTTGCAACACTTTTCAGCAGAGGTCGCTGAACTGCGTCGTGTTTTTTTTTCTGACTTGTTTTTAGAGGCCAAGCGAACGGCATAGTAATAGTTTGTGTCTTTTGTCTATTTGCTATCTGCCATTTGTTGTTGCGCAATTGGCAGCAGCGCAGATCATTGGCCAGGCAGGCGGGCGACTGTTCAAAGATAACGATTACTCAGCACTTCGCCAAGGTGCTCCAATAGCATTTTCCTCAAATACGTAGACAACGTGGCAACAACTAAGACAAAGCGTTATTTTTAGCCACTTACAGTTGGTACTTATCAAGAACACAGATGTGTTTACCTTTCATGATAAACCCATTATAATTCTAATAAATTTGACGAAAATATATAGCTCTACGAGCTTAGTATTGGAGTTAAATTATATTTCTTATCCGCTAAATATTCCGATAATAAAATGTTATTTATTTTATTATCGGAATCTTAAATGGAATAAGAAAATTATATTTATTATTATTATCAAATTCATTGAGAGCTAAAGGTACAATAAAAATATATATTTGTATTATTGTTTAACTTCATTTCGAACAATAAAGTTTTATCAAAAAAAAAAAAGATTGAAAACGACAAGTTGGAATAACTTCAAAGAAGGTCAGGCCTAAAAATATGAATATTTTACCTTCATTTTCGCGTTTGGCATTCATATATATTCAAATGGTTTTGGGAAATAGTTTTATTTTATTTTTTGCCTTGGCCACTTACATTTAAGTGCTATTAACTGAGTTTTTGAGTGGCTTTGACTTCATTCAGGGTCATGGAAAAAGTGAAATCAGACAAGAAATAGATATCATTTAGCAGTTTTTTTTCGCAGCTCCATTACTCAGGTTATTTTTTATTTGTATTCTTTTACTATCAGTTTCTTGGTGTCACTTGCTTATCTCTGTTTGCTTTTCTATTTCAAGTCAACAATCTGGCTCTGCTCGCTTCGTTGACGTTACAGAAAGTGCTGAATATCAACAATAACAATAGCCAGCACAACAACAAACACAATCACAACCACAACCACAACAGCAACAGCAGCAATATCAACAAGCAACTCGAGCAACAAAAACAGCAGAAACAACGACGAAACCTCGATAATAAGAGCGAGAATGATGTATTGAATCAATTGCTTAAAACTGGAGCTGTTTTCACTAAAACCGCCACGCCAACGGCGCCCATAGCCATTGAGAAGAGGAAGGTGTCGCAGCAGCAACATCAGTATGCCCAGCAACAGCAGCAGCAGCAACCGTATCATCATCAGCAGCAACAGCAATTCAGCGCACAGAAGCAACGCCTCAACTCATCCATATCATCGACCCACTCATCGACATCAACCAACTCCTCGTACGGCAGCAGCTCCTCGGAAGATGCGGCAGCCACATCAGCAACTTCAGCTAGTTTGGCAATATCCAGAACAAGTACCACGAAGGCGTCCAGCATTAAATTGCCAGAGAAATCAAAAATTCCGTCCGATATACTTGATGATCTGGCCAGTCGGTTTATAATCAATGTACCGGACATGGAGCTAAATAATTTAATTCGAATCTGTTTCCAAGTGGAGCTGGCCCATTGGTTTTACTTGGATTTCTTTTGTGCGCCGGAAGAGGGCGGAGAAGATGGAGAAGCGGCCACCCCTAAGTCTGTCAAGCGAAAGTTGCCGACCGTGGGCATCAAGCAGTTTGCCATGCAGTTGTTCCAAGTGAGTCTTTGGTCCAGAGTCTGGCCAAATCTTAAAGTTTATACTCAATTCACCGCACATGAATTTTCCGGCAGCACATTCCCTTTTTGAACAAGCACCATGGCACCGTGGATCAAATTCTGGACGAATGGAAGAACTACAAGCTGTCGGTGCCGACATATGGAGCTATTCTGGTATCCGAGGACTACAATTATTGCTTGCTAGTGCAGTCCTACTTTGCGCGCAACTCCTGGGGCTTTCCCAAGGGCAAGATAAACGAGAACGAGGATCCGGCGCACTGTGCTACAAGAGAGGTGAGTCAGAGACGATATATAAATAATTAAATTTGATACAATTTGGTTTCCATACGCAGGTTTATGAGGAGACTGGGTTCGATATCACGGACAACATTGATGCCAATGACTATATTGAGGCTTTTATCAACTACCAGTACACGCGGCTGTACGTGGTGCGCAACATACCGCTGGACACGCCGTTCGCACCTCGCACCCGCAACGAAATCAAATGCTGCGACTGGTTCCGTATTGATGCCCTGCCTGTGAACAAGAACGATGCCATATCGAAGGCCAAACTGGGCAAAAACTCCAACTCATTCTTCATGATCATGCCGTTTGTGAAGCGCCTAAAGAAGTGGGTAAACGATCGGAAGGCTGGCATTGAGCCGCGTCGTCGCAAATGTTCCGGCCAGCACTCGCCGAAAGCTGCCTCGCCCACAAATCATCTGAATGGCAGCGGCAACAGCTGCAAAAAGGATACGGCAGCGGTGCGAAATGCGTCGCGTCGTCAGAGACACAAGTCCATGGGCGATTTGGACGGTGTCAAGTTGAATAATCTCAATGGCAAGGCAGTGGCTCCGGGAACGGGGCCAGCAGCAGCTCCCGCAACAGCTGGCGCAGCCATCAACTCAATGAACATTTGCAATAGCAATGGGAAACGCAATAAACAAAATGCGGCTGCGGGCAGCAATCAAACAACGCCACTAACAACAACAGGGGCGGGCTCAAATGGAGCCGGAGGAGGAGGAGGAGGTTCCACTATATCCTCGAAACGTCAGCTGTTCCATAGCCAAAGTCAGAACGATGCACAGCAGTCGGCAAGCACAGAAAAGGTGAGAATTAAAAGCTGAAGGCGCAAATGCACCTTTTATGTATTAATTATGTTGCAGATTGTCAGCTCTTTTGATTTGATACGCAAGGAGAAACAGCTACAACAGAAGGCAGCCAAGGCACTGAAGCAGCAGCAACAACAAATCCAACAACAGCAGCAGCAGCAACAACAGCGATCGCGCACCAAGTCCCAGAGTGATAAGCAGCCATCTGTAAGGATCTTGGGACAACAACAACAACAGCAACCTACCACAGGGGTCGATTTAATAGCTATGCTATCGGCAGCAGCAGCAGCAGCTCAAAAGAACCCAAAGAACGAGCAGCAGCAGCAGCAACCATCGCAGTCGCAGCAACGTCCGAGACCAGCTTCAGTGTCGCTGAACTTTGGCGGAGGAGGAGCAGCACCATCGCCTGCTGATGCCCAGGGCGACATGCACAAGCTGCAGCGCATGGCTTCGGGCACAAATTTAAGGATTTTGAAGCGGGCACAGTCGCAGCAACCGCAGCAGCAGCAGCAGCAGCAGCAGTTGATCCAGCAACAGCAGCAGCCTCAGCTGGGCGGTGTTGACTTTACGCCCAATTTTAATTCGTGGACGAATTTCTCATTCACCAAGAACTTTATAGCAAATGTGTTTTGCTAAAAACCTTTTCCCTTTCGAGTCAAACCGCTTCCTTTAAAAAATTCTCAAGTGATGCAAAAGCAAAGGTTACAGGGGAAACACTGTGCGCATTAGGGAACCGAAAGAAACTTTGGAGACTTGCCAATGAAAATGAAAGCATGCCGAATTGCATTTAAAAGGTTCATTTAACACTACAACAACTACCAACATTTGATAGACAATTAATCGTGTCTAGTCCTAGGCTTTGGAGACTACATATATTGTATAAAAGTTAAGTTTTCTGATCTCTAAACTGGAGATTTGACTTTTTCCCCATACATATTCTCAAAAATCGATAAGAGACATTTTTTAATACGAAAAACAAAAACGATTAAGCGATTTTCATACCAAAAAAACGCGAGTCTTCCGCTCAGCACAGCACCTGTAAAGTAATATTTTGTATAAACACAAAACCAATAAGATTCAACTTTAAGATCAAAGTGAGAATACGAACAGAGATTGAGTAATAATAATGCTAGAATTCTTTCGGTATTATGCTAAAAAGTGTTTATTATCGCGCCGTTTAAACGTATTTTTAGAGCAAAAAAAACCAACAAACTAAATCTTAACCTAACTTAAAGCGTAGCTTTAACACAACGCCCGAAAACAGATGGTTTGACAAAACAAAACGGAAACCATTCTGCGGGCCAAGATGAGATGGAAAATTTTCAGGGCCGTTTTACTTACTGCCCGCCCCCACCTATGAATGATAGAATGAGGAGAGAGAGATGTGTAAGAGAGAATACAAAATAATAACAATGTAAATAATTAAATTGTGATATAGTGTATTTCTTAGCACAATTGTGATCTTAACAAAAAAAAAAACGGCTGGCAACTACAAACAAAACTTTTATAAGCAAGAAAAAAAACATTTTAATCAATCGAACATAAAAAACAAATTACAAATGTCCCGAAAATTGAGATCCAATATCAGGCATATCTTCAACAGCAGAAACATAAGAGATAACCAAAAGATTTAACGAATTTAAATTAGTTTAAAATTGAAATTGCCTAAAAATGATAATGATTTGTATGAAGAGAAAAGCTATTCGAGCGATTTGTAAATTTTACGATAAACCGGACGGATGGAGTACGTATATATTTTTGTGAGCCACTAGTGCGTAAGGAAGAGCCTTTAAGAAATGTTAAGCCTTTTGATAAAACTCCTTAAGGGTGTTTTTCTACCAAGCCAAGTTTCCTATAATTCGTAAGCATGTGGCAGCATGTCGCGTTTTCTGCTGTGTAGTCTCCAATGTTTCCAGCAAAGTCTCCAAAACAGAGTTGCCCATTTAGCGTATTGTATGTATATCTTTAGACTAAGCAAGGATAAGCAAGGTCTCCAAAGGTCTCCGCAATAACAACAAAAAATTAACAGAGGTTCCCCTGTAACTAGGTCTTTTTGCGTACACTTCGATAATGTTCTTTAATCTTAATCAAAATCAGATGAAGAAATTTGCATTTGCATTCGCTTTAAATCTTTTACTACTGACTTTTAAAGCTTTTTGAAAAGCCATATTAATTTTTATGTTACATAATAACTGAACTGCAAATTTGTTTTAAACATTTCTCTTTTAATTTGGATTCGGATTACTTTCTATTTTTTAAACGAACTCATTTTTGGAAACTTTAATCCGTTTCCCCTACCCCGGCCACAGACAAATATCCAATGAAATTGTAACCAATTCTAATCGGTTAACTCTTTTAGCTCTTTTCCTTAAACCATTAATTTCTTTTGACATTTGTCTGTGCCAAATAAACAACAACAAAGAAACATCAAACTTATCCAGCAAGCAATGAATATCAAATTAGGAACAAGAACAGCATTGTTACAGCTTGAAAACTACAAAATTAAACCCGAAACAATATATTGTACAATTTTGTTGTGAACAAAAACGAATCAAAACGAAACCAAATTTAAATCAAAACCGATGCCTAATCTGTTGAATCCTTAGCTCCAACCCCAAAAATACAATATTAGAGTTCAATATCAAATCGTCTGCCAACCACACACCAAAAAACTTATAATAACAAGATTCATATCGTCCATATATTTCAATTGTCATACGCAAAGAAACCGTATTACGTTACTGATCTTATTATTGTAAGTTCTTTGCATACATCCATAGACATAGAAATACATCAATTGCGTTGGTTATAAGCGGGCTCCTGTAACAACAATCATCGACACAAATTAGTTAATTTAAGTGAACTTTGGATGCGATTCAAATCTTGCCATCAGTTAAATGTCCGAATACTCGCTCCAAGCTACAAATTTGCTATGCATTTTAATCATTGTACCCGACAAAGAAAAACAAAAAGTGAAATCTGTCAACACGTCCAAAGCTAAGAAAAATATGGGTTGAATCTGCACAAGAATAGATTTGCTTTAAATTTCAAAAAAGCAAAGATGTAGAAAATCCGGCTGATTAATTAAAAATTATTGGAAATTCGTCTGAAATTAAAGCATATAAGTAAATCTATTCTGTAGTGGCAGGCATAATAAAATATCAAAAATACAATTTGTAGAATTTAATGCCAAAACAAAAACTTAAATCTCCTCAACCATAAACAACAATTGTAACGTAATTATTATCAGATACCTATAATTTGTGCAAAAAAAAATATATTTTCAATATTTTCAGCCCCCCAAAAATTCCGGCAATAAATTGATGTATCCCAGTTTTAACGACTAATTTGTATTATTTTGGGAATTCTGTTATTTCTAGGGCTGTTTTTTAAAGAAACAACGATTTATCGATACAAACGAACTTTTATGGATATAGAATTGTATTCTTTAAGACTGGTTAATTTAGAACGTTTCTTAACAGCTTTAAATTATAAAATTTTAAATTTTAAACTTCAAAATTAAACTTATTCTTTTATTTCGGCATTCAAGGTTATTCTATGGTCGTTTTACATAGCCGATTTATCTTAACTAAAGTGAGTTATTTATTTATAATGTAAGAATATTGTTTAATGTTTATTTTTTTCGGGAACATTTACGTATCTGCCTTTTCTATATATGATCTGTTTGGGCAAACTGATGAATTCCCCGTCTGGATTAACCTTTATTCGCTCGACAGGTTGTTCCTCCTTCTGACCCTGCAGTGTTCTCTTGGCATACGGCACCTTCCGCACATCCGGATGCACACGCAAAACGGGGTCCAGTTTCATGAACTTTCCTTCATGCTTGTACTGGGCCTGCTTGAGGTGGGCGCGCATGTGTCGCATGTAGTTGCCAGGAATGCTGGAGATGTTACATCCCACATATGGACACTTTTGGCACTGGCTTTGGTGCCAGTTTGTGTGCTTCACATACCGCTTCCACACCCGAAACCGTCGGGTGCAATTCGGATAGTTGCAATCGTAGACATCGGGTGGTGGATCGACCGGATTATGGAAACGCAAGTGCTTTTGGAAGGATCCGTAGTACTTGAAGTGCATATTACAGGATGGACAAGTGTGCTCCACAAAACTGTGCGTGCTATTCTCGTGTCGGATGGTGTCGGTAAACCGGATGAACATTTCGTCGCACTTCAGACAACGGAAATCTATATCCCGGTGCCGTGTTGAAGGTTTCTTATGATCCTCTGCCTCCTCGTGATCCGCCAGTTGCTTTGGCTTCTGGAAATTCGCTCCACAAGTGCCACAGTAGTAGGTGGGAGTTTTCCGGGTCATGGGATTGTGACTCCGAATCTGCATCATGTTATCGTACGCCTTATCGCAGCAAGTGCACATCAATTTGATGGCCTTGGTACTATCCTTAAATAATTTTGCGATGACCATTCCATCCTGCCCGATAGCCACGCAGAAAAATTCTGGCTCCACTTCCTGACCCTCATTTTGGAGAGTTTCTTCCGTTTCCTCATCACTTTTGTCCTCTGGTATATCCATATCATTGTTTTGTGGCGATTCCATTTCCTCATCTTCTGAAGCTGAGGAAGGAGCCTCTAGCTTGATCTGGAACGCCTTAGAGTCATCTATTTCTAGTGGTGTCTCCTGCAGTGCTTCGTGGGTCTTAGTCCATTTCTTTAGAGATTCGCTTATGTGTAAAACCCTCTCGAAACACGCTTGGCAAATGCAGGAGCTCTCTCCCAAGATGGAGATCTATGGATAGGAAAGATATACATTTTTGTAAGATCATACATACATACATATGTACATATCTACATGAATATGTACATATGTTCAGGCTTACATCAATCTTGTAGCATTCGAATAGTCTCTGTAGCAGTTTGTTCACCGCCTTATACATGGGCTTCTCAAGATCGACCTCTATCGCCAGGTTCTCCCGGCACAAAGTGCACATAGGTGCGTCCGACATTATTTTGATTTTATTAATATTTAATGGGATGATGAAAAAATGGAGCTGGAAAATAATCAATGATTTTATCGATGCCACAGGGTCGATACTATCGGTGAGGCGATTAACAAATAAATATCGAGGCTTCTTAAAAATATCGATAAATATTTTTTAAAAATCGAATATCAGCAAATATTTTGATTCTTAAATTTTTGCAATATTTCTTTTTTTTTTTGGCAAATTATCGATTTGTTTATTATCGAATAATAAAGGAAACAGAAAAACCCCCAGACAAGTAATTATTACTTAAACTAAATATTTTGTTGTATAGTATTATTTCAACTGTTTTTATAATAACAATACCTTATTTTATTTTATTTACTTTTTTATCGAGCTATTCTGTCCAACTCTATACCGTCCATATGATGGCAGGTGGGTTTTTAGGTGGTTGTCGTGGTTCCCTGGTTCCATTATGAAGGAACAACCGTCGACAGGACACAAGGACCTCTGGTTTTTATGCTGCACTAGGTGTTTTGTATAATTGGACCATATCTGGAATCGACTAATGCAGTTTGGATATCTGCACATGTATGTTTGATGCTCTAGTAGATGTTTTTGAAGGGATTCACGATTCTCGCAGGATATCCGGCACATGTGGCACACAAGGGTAGACTTGTAGTGGAAGTCGTTATCGTGCTTGATGGCGTCACTCAGTTGATTGCTCCTCGCGCCGCACTTCAGGCACCTCATGACCATGGCCCTGGTCTTTGGCCTGGGGTGTTTCTTTATTTTCTCGTGTATTTTTAGTTCGAAGATGCTTGGATAAATGGCGTCGCATACGCCGCACCAGTACTCGGGATGTGCACGGGTTACTGAAGCGTGCTTGTGGATATCAGAAAGGGTGGTAAACAACTTGTTGCAGCAGGTGCACAGCATCCGAATGTTCTTCTCCTTGGTCTTGTCTTTGAACAGTATCGTTAGGGCCAAGCCATCGGGTCCTAGGCACACGCAGAAGAAGTTTTCGAGGCTCGATCTCCAATCTGTATCAGCTCCCTCTGCTGACATTTCTTCATCACTGTCTTCGGAGCTAGCTACTTCATCATCACTGGGATCGGAGGATACCTCTTCTACCAGCTCCACGTCACTCCCCATGAATTCTAGATCGTCTGTTTCGGGTTCTTCTTCCTTTATAAATAACGCATTTTCTGCTTGCTGAGGGTCTGCTTGAATCTCCGAGAACTGGGCGTTGGAATCGGGCTCCAACTTGATGTGAAATATATTGGAGTCATCTATGTCCAAGGGGCTTGCTTTGAGCATTTCCTGGGCTTTGCTCCATTTCTCGAGGGTTTGGCTCATTTGTAAAACTACGTTGAAGCATTGTTGGCAAATGCTTGATCTTTCTTCCAGGATGGACGGCTATACAAAAAAAGATTATTTACTTATACTATGTTTAGGAGGTTTAGTTCGGACTCACATCAATTTGGTAGCTCTTCATAAGCGTTTGCAGCAGCTTCTTGCTGGCCGACTCAAGTTTAAGATCGAGATTTATAGCGGGATTATCCTGGCATAATTTGCAAAGGCCATTATCCGACATTTTGCAGGAATTATTCTTTTATTTTCTGCAGCAAGTAAACATATACACAGGGTGACCGCACTAAAGACAATACGAAATACTTTCCGCATCAAGGAATAAATACCATAAAATACAATTTAAGTTAAAAAATACCAGTAAAATACCAAATTGAAATAGTATTTAAAAAAAGTGCTCATCTGCATTATTTTCTGCAACCAATATTACTTTCGTGAATGCCCTATTTTATTTTAATTATAAAAATTACTAAAGAAAAGCTTTTCGAAATTAAATTTTATATTTGGCCCCTTGGTTTAATTGCTGAACTGCAAGGGAATACAAACTCCGGATTCTCAAAGTAAGCTTACTTTCCTTTTTTTTTATGAGAACTTATATTTAACCTATTAATAGACTTATAAGAATAATACACAAAATTCGTATTATTATATTAGCAGGATAGAAGCCGAAATTAATATTACCTTTATTTGTAAAGCCTCAAATTAATTCCAACATCTATGCCTTTCGTTTGCTAGCAGGTGTGTTTATGATAAACGGCTGACTGTGAGGTGAACCAGCATAGTCTTCATCATAGAATATTACTTGTTTTTTGCTATGCGTTCTCAAGTGCTTTACGTGATCCCCGCCACCATGATGCTGGTACAACCTGTGACGGGACACCGGCAAATACGGCCCCTGTGACAGTTCAGGTGGTTTACATACTCTTCCCACAGTTTGAAAGTTCGCTGGCAATTTTGATAGCGACATACGAGGTCCTTGTGCTTCCACTGGTGTTTTGATAAGGATTCGCGATATGGGAAGGACACGCCGCACTTCCTGCAATTGTAGGACGACTTTTTGTGGACAGTGTTCTCATGTGTGATTGCGTTAAGAAACTTTTTGCTTAAATTGGCGCACTTTATGCACCTGATGACCAAGTTGCTGATCACTATTTGATGATTCTCGTATTCTTCGTGGAATTTCAGTTCTTTGATGGTCGGGAAATATGTGCCGCAGCATCGGCACCAATACTCTGGACGAGTACGGCCCGCCAAAGTGTGTTTATGTATGTCGGACATAGTAGCAAACACCTGGTTGCAGCAAGTGCACAGCAACTGAATGTTCCTCTGTCGAGTCTTGTCTTTAAACAACACGGCTAATGCCAATCCGTCTCGTCCTAGGCACACGGCAAAGAATTCGTGAGGAGTCAACCTCCAATCCAAATGGTCTTTAGGTTTTTCTTGAATCTGCTCAATTCCGAATAGTTCCTCATAAACTTTTGCGGACACACCATCAGCGTGATTCGTCGATGGAACCTCCGTTAATGATTCAACCTCCTTGGTTTGGGTTTCTTCCGAGTCTAGGTATTGCACATCTTCTGTTAGGGGTACTGCCTCCTCGAGGAATTCCAAATCTTCTGTTCGGATCTCTTTGTCTTCCACCTCGGGTAATTCGTTCGAATTGGGTGTTTCGTCCATAAATAATTCCAAGCTGTCCTCCGCTGTAAACTCTGCATCATCATTTTCATCCCATAAAGTCTTTGGCTCTTCCTTTACAGAAACCACCGTGACGTCTGTGTCCAGCAGAGAGACGGTATTCTGCAGCACGTTCTGGGCATTGCTCCATTTCTCAAGTTGTTCGCTTATTAGTAGAACCCATTCGAAGCAGCGCTTGCAAGTGGAAGAACTTCCTCCCAAGACAGACACCTATAACAAAAAACTAATGTATAATCATTAGATCTTTAGAAGGTTGTTTAAGGGGACTCACATCTATGTTGTAGCAGTCGAAAAGCGTTTGCAGCAGATTGATGACAGATTTGTACGAATACTTCTCAAGGTTGATTTCCACTACCTGGTCCTCTTGGCACAACTTGCAAAGTTTTGCCTCCGTCATTTTGCCGAACGCAATTTCCAAATATAATAGTTCATTTTAAGAAACCAACAGCTAGAGCTGGGCAGATGCATCGATATTTTCCCTTTTTTTTACCATCGATAATTTGTTGCGATGGTTACAATGGGCAGCAGCAAAAACAAAATCGGTCGAGATCGATTCGGTTGTGGATTTGAATATATATACTGTATAGGGTCGCTAATGTCTCTTTTCCTGCTACAGTACTTTGCAAGTTTAGAAAAGGGGACAAAAAATTAATAAAATCAAACAATTTTGGTTTGGTTAATTTGATCTTGAAAATTGATAACGATACATCGCTTCCTTCAAAACCGAATCGATAGTCGACCGAAACCATAAGGAGTCGTTGGTATCGATATTGAAATCGTTGTTTTCCCAGCTCTATTTCAAGAACGCAAACTACAACAAGAAGTTTTTCCATCCGTGTGGCGTGAAAAGTGCATAAGTTTGTTCAAATTAGTTTAAGTCTAATTTATTAGCCAAACAAATAAAGCCATGGTAGGTAATCGCATAATTCTCGAGCGAAACGTAATTGCTAAATTGCTGACGAAGTGCCTGTTTTTGTGTGAGCGCCGCACATTACGTCTGTGTGTGTGGGAGTGTGTGTGCGTGTTAAAAAAAGCGGCCGCCGCGTCACAATACAAAATTGTGTTTCGATTTTTCCCCAATATCCATTCCCATCGATTCCTAATTGAAATTCGCATTTTTTCCAATCCCTGTGACCCGTTGCGGATGTGGCGAACCTGGTGCAGTCGTTTGCGGAAAAGATAACGAGTTTGCTTGCACGGCCGAACCAACAAGATCCAGTCGGACCGGAGCAGCCCTGGTACCTTAAATATGGCAGTAGATTGCTGGGCATTGTGGCCGCCTTCTGTGAGTATGATATTTTGAAAGCCCGACTCTTCCCAGCTCTTCCCCCGCAGCTTAACCCCTTCGAAAAGCCAGCAAAGTTGGCAAAAAACCGCCGTGACATTGGGCAGTCCAAAAATATTTGGCATCGATTTTTGTGTACCACTCGTTGTTGTTGCTGTTATCTATTCGTAGGTGTGTGTGTGTGTACGCACGCTCTCTGACATTGATAAAGGCAAAGAGAGGAGACGAAAGGTGAAGACAAAAAGGATACAGAAATTTGAACGGGAATGTGTGTGTCAGTGTGTGTGTGTGTGTAAAGGAGCTTTTCTGTCAAGTTTGGCGCTTTGTTTTTTGTTTTATTTTTCTTGCCTCCTGGTCCATATCAATTGTAATTCTGTTTGGTTCATTCACATTGCCTTTTGTTTTATCATCGCAGCATCGCTGTCTCTCTCCTTTTTTTTTATAAACTTTGTAACGCCTGAATGCGCATTTTCTTTGTTATGCGTTCTCATTTAACCTTAACCCTTGGTCTGCCCCACGTTTCAAGCGAATCTAGTATCAAGATTCTACAGAATTTCCCCCTGGCTGCTATTTATTTTATTACAATACTATCAGTATGCGTTAAATATTATAATGATGATTAAGTATATTTTATTAAACTGAATTATAGATGATAATAATGATAATAAGAATTTATTAAGAATGCTTATTTCCCCTTTCTAACTAAGTCAACTTAGTGTTAACTCTGACTTACTATTCTATGTTGCTATTTTGCTATTTTTTTAAATAGAACGAATACTCCCACTATAGATAAAGCAATGATTTTATGTATGAATATAAATTAATCCCCTGCAATTGATATCAGGATTGCTATTTCTGTTCCATATAAACATATCTATAGGGTTAAAACCTTTCTTATTTTTATTATTATTATTTTCTTCAATGACATTTCTTGTCTCCCTACAGTCGCATCTTTTGTTGTTAAATTTCCCGGAGACTTTTTTTATTCACTTGTGAGGAAATGGAGAAATAGCAATTGTTGCCCAACAAATAAACACCATCCACTTAAAATCAATATAAATAGCCTGTATAGCTCAATTAAGGGAGAAAACTCACTCGTGCGGCTTCCACAATGAACCGGTTGTGTTTGGGTAAAATAAAACCAAAAGTCTATGATTAATAAATAACTTTATAGCCGCTTTCCGCAGAGCACAGCGACTTCTTCTTTGCCCACGAACCGCAGTAACCTCAAGACAGAGATCGGATTTCGCAAAAGGAAACATGAATCTCAGAGATACAAAATAAACTTAAGCTGAAGGTGTAGCTCAAAAGATTTTTGTACTACAAAATTATAGTTTAATTTAGAAGATAATTTAGCTCTCCCTCGTGATCTTCTAGAAAATTTTCTCTCGCCACTTTTATCCAATTATCACCTCCGGACATATATCTATCTCTAGCTTAATGTCGTGTTTATAGTGTCTGTTGTTTACTCTTTGTTTATGCTTTTATCATTGCCCATAAGCACCTGATAAAATATTTTAATGCAATTGAATTCAACACCCCCTAACTTTATCAACAAAAATGTAGAGCATTCGCTCCATTAATGTCTAGTAACAATTTGCTCAACTGTTTTCCCCGCTAGTTGTTCCGCTTCTGTGGCTTTCTTTGTTGAGTATTTCTGAATAAAAGTTGAATTGTGGACACATTAAAAGTAAAAAATTGGCACACAAATGAGTCAGAGTTGTTGATTAGATTGCGTATTCGAATGTTTATTTTTCTTATATGGAGCTTTTTGGATGAGATAATGGGTCTCGGGGGCGTTTTTGATTAAAATATATTCGTCTGTCCCCCGGGTCAGTGCTTAATGTTTTTAGCATAATAGCAACGCCCTAGTAATTTGAATAAATCATTAAGCATAATATTAATGACATTCTAACAAAATCATTTAAATAAAAATAATTAGTAATTACTATACCTTTACCGGGTATTATAATTTTAGTTGGAGGAATGAAAATTAAGTGAAGGATTCATTTCCGACCCTATAAATCTTATTTATTCTTGATCAGCATCAATAGCCGAATAAAACTAGCATTGTTTAGCCAAAATAAAGATAATTTTCAAATTTTTTTTCCAAATGATAAAGGGGTTGCATCGTTAAAATTTTCAAAAATCGACAAAAACTTTAATTTAATTTTTAAATATTAAATTTGGTATGCAAATTTGTTAATCTAATAAAATATAACTGCTTTCCGTTTTAAAATGAATATTTTTTTGTCTGAGTTATGGGTCTTTTAAGTTATGATTTTTTAATACAATTATCATGGTTTTAAAAATGTATATAAAATTCAAAGTCCATTTGCTGGCTTTTTAACCTATTTAAAACTAACACATAAATCCTTTCTGATTTTATATTAATGCATTTTTACCGAAAGTAACTTCCTTTTTTAAATTAATTCGTATTGTTTATATTTTCAGTTGCCATACTCTTCGGCCTGTGGAATGTTCTGTCCATTATCACACTCAGTGTATCATGTCTGGTGGCGGGCATTATACAAATGGTGGCAGGGTTTGTCGTAATGGTCCTGGAGGCGCCCTGCTGCTTTGTCTGCATCGAGCAGGTGAACGGGATCGCGGATAAGGTGGACTCCAAGCCCATGTACTTCCGGGCTGGACTCTACATTGCGTGAGTGACCAATACACAGTGACACAGTTCTGATCAATTTCATAATTAAATTTACGTTTCTAACTTAATTTACAGCATGGCCACTCCGCCCATCTTCATGTGCTTTGGATTGGCCAGCTTATTCGGCAGTGGTCTAATCTTTGCCACCGGCGTGGTCTACGGAATGATGGCGTTAGGCAAAAAGTGAGTTTGGTTAACCCTTGGAACTTGGGAAAAAGAATAAGTCACTAAGGAGTTCAGAAAACCCGGTCAAAATCTGCAAAAATTCTGATTAGTTCATATTAATATTTCATTTAATTATCTTTCTATTCATGGCGTTTTTCTGAACTCCCAACCGCTTATTATTCCAAGTCTGGGAATAAATTTAGTTGCTAAGCGAGAGGAGGAGCAGCAAGCGATTTATAGTTGGCCCAAGCTAAGCCCTTTTTTGCTAATCGTAACCAAACTGTTTTTCTCTATATTCCCACAATGTGCTTGCCACTGTGAAAACGCTTTAAAAACGAAATGTGTATAAAATAATGTGTAGAGCTTCTCGGGAGGACATGGCCGCCGCTGCCACATCGCCCACACAGATGGCCGGCAGTCAGGCGGGCGGGCAGATGCAGATGGGCGGCGATCAGCATATCACACTCATGGAAGATCCCGACGTTTGGCGCCCCACATAAATGCCTAGCCGAGCGATTAGTAACTGCCAAAACCACAACAACTCTCACACTCCAGATACAGATACAGATACTCAGATACTACACCCACACCCACACCACTAGAAATGCAAAAGATGCAGCAAACAAATATTTTACGACGCCTAGTTTTTAGTGTTCGTTCCAAGGAATAATGTGTAACTAGGAGAAGAGTCATCCTTAGGCGTTTGTAGGAAAGCATCAGAGATCAGAAATAGTATACAGAACACCCCACCAATTACAAAGAAAAATTAAAAAACTAAATTCTCATTATTGTTGAAAGAAAACAAAAAAGACAGCGAGAGAGAGAGAGAAAATGTTAGTAATCAACGTGTTTTTTGGGCCAATGCATTTTCGTCATTCGTCCCCCTTTTGCATGCAGGTCATTCGTGTATTCCAATTTTTTAATGTCTTTCGTCGAGCGGTTGGTGTTGTTGAAAACTACAGTTAAATATATATAAATATATTATATGCCTAGAGAAATACTGATACGAAAATAACGTAATACACATGCCGGACTCAGCAGCAAGCATATATTTTTAGTGAGAAACTATATTTGAAAGCTAACCGAATGCAAGAACCTATATGAGTAACCACAGCTTCCACAGACACACACACACATAGACATTCACACTCCACTAGCTAACACACAAAGCTAAGGGTACTAAAAAGCAAATAAGATAAATATGAAGAACCTAGAGCAATATGTACAACTCAGAAAGTATTAACTTTATATGCTTTGCTTCAATGTAAACCATACAATTAAATGTTAAACGTTGTTTGAGAATTGATTTTGCTCTCAGGATAGTCACAAATTGAAATTGAACATAATCAAGCATTATATCAGAGTAAATATAGAATTCAGATATACAACAAGTTGAGGTTTTAACAGTTCTATATTTTTTTAAATGTTGTAATACAAGAAATGATTTCAATTATCGTTAAAATTATTTGGTTCCTTTCACTCGAGCTTCTTATAATTTCTCATTCGCTAAAAATATATACTTTTTATTATTTTTTTTGTCATACGCCTAAGTTATGTTTAAGTATTTATTCCAAAAGGTTTTTACTTTGAAAGTCTGAAAGAAAATCATATTTGAGATATGTATTTTATCTTCCTTCAACAAAAGCATTCCAAGCTCTGTTTTATAATTTATTGCATTATTTATTTGTCTTAAGCTTAAGTACACATTATTTCAAGAATACTCGCATAAACTTGTTACTAAATAGCCTTCGCCAGCAACTGAGAATCTCACCTGAAGTGTAAACTATAATGAAATCAAATAAATTTTGTTGAAATTTGTTAATCGATGAACGCAACACTAAAAATGAAATCATGTAAAATATTTTGTTTACCATGGACTAAGCATAATTCGATAAAATATCAAAGACTTTGTAAATGCCACATGAAGAAAAACCAGACAAAAAAATAACAGAACCGTTCAAAACCCAAGTACAACCAACGACGGCCAACAAATATACGATTTGCGTTAAGAACATCTCGTTAACGACTTTGCTGCGTCGCCGAGATCACGAAAGGCAAATAAATTTTTGAGTTTTTCTTAGCTGTAATCACTTAAGATTTGTATTAGCTAGAGTGCCTTGCACGCTATTTTATTGTAGACATATATTTTCTATGTAGAATTAAAGATTATTTGTAGTAAATCCATATCCAATATTAAATTATATATTGGACTTACTATTATTGTAAATTTTGGATGAAAAAATATACATAGCATCGATTTATTCCCGTAGATCCCCTAGTTTTTGTCTCAAACTCAAAGTAATATATTGTTTTTTATGTAAATTTTTGTGCCAAGTGGCATATTGGTCTAAATCCGGTTAAGTTATGTTCTGTTCTTTCGCCCCTTTTAGTTCTATGTAGGCACAAATTACAGTTTGGTTAGTTGAGCACTATATTCTATTATATTATTTTACATTCTATTATTTCTCATATTAGTTTTGTCTTTTAAATCGAAATAATACAAAATAAACTAATAATGCTTTGTAATCTTTTTCTTTAAACAGAGCATCGGCTGAGGATATGAGGGCAGCTGCTGCTCAACAAACCTATGGAGGCAATACGGCCGCTCAGACCACCAACGATCGAGCGGGCATTGTGAACAATGCCCAGCCCTTCTCCTTCACCGGCGCCGTGGGCACGGATAGCAATGTGTGATCCAGAAAATCAAGACAAATCGTTGGGAAAGGTGTGCCGTGAGAAAACAAGACTCAAAACGCAACATTTAAAGGGCAAACCTAAACCAGGAGAACACACACATAAACACTTCAGCGGGCAGTCTAAAACATAATCATGTGCAATTCGTGTACTTTTGTTCACTTATTAACATTGTTCAGCTCTGATCTCTCTCTAGAGCAGTCCAAATCCAGTCCAGACATCAATCCCTTTTAAGCAGAAAGCAAAACGTATTCACACACAAATTCATATTAAATGTTTGTAAATGTATTTTGGCGTTTTCTGTGTCCTCTATTACTATTAATTGTGTTGCCTGTGTCCCATCATTCCAAAATATATTTGGTTTCAAACTTAGTGGAAATTGAAAGTAAATTATTGCAAATCACTAGCGAGGTGACAAAAGAGAACATCATGTAAAATTTATGTTTAGTCATAGTTTAAATATACCTTAAATATATTTAAATGCATAATACTAAAATGTTTAAATTAATGCAAAATAAAACTATAAATATTGTATGTAAACCATATTAAAATTGAATTATACATACTTTAAATTATGTTAAATAAAATTAATTATACAAACGAGCAAGTGCAGTATCTATATATAAAGTGGAAGCAAACAAAAACGGCATTCAAATATATGTTGTCAAAATATTTTATTAAATATGAACTTTATAATATTAACTTCTTTAAGCACAGACTATTTCTAAAAACAAGAATTTGGAAAACAAATAAAATTATGCTTCATTGGATTGGCTTTCCTCACTTCCCGAGTGTTCCTCACTTCCCGAGTGCTCATCACTTTCCGGAGCCAGCTCCCAGATTTCAATTTCTTCGAACTCATCGCTGCCGCTCTGATCGTCATCATCTTGGACATCATCGTCATCGTCTTGGGCATCGGATTCATCGATATCTTGTTCAGAAGATGGCCAACGGTAGCGGCGGTCGCTGATAACATCAATATCCTTTTCGACTACATCTTCCGACATGCTGACTGCGAACACCAGGGCCAGGACACCAAAAACCAGGAAGAGAACTTTGCTGGAAGCCATTTTGGTTGATTGATTGATTGATTGTAGCTTGAGACTTGAGATGCTCGATGCTTCGATGCCAATTGAGGGTTTAACTCTGGCTTTTATACCCGAAATTTCTTTTTGGCAAATGCCTGGCCAATTGTTTGACCTACAAATAGAATTTGGCAGGCTTAATCATTCTATTTGCCCTAAAAATCTAAATTAAAACAACTAAACAAATATTTTCGCAAGCTACTAAGTTTTGGGCTTGCGAATAACTAAGACAAGGTCAACATTTTTGGAGCATGCTTGGGAATTTCGGTAGCTTCAGGTAGTGTTTTAATGTTTACCTAGATCGCTTTCCTATTTACGTAAATTTTATTTTTGATTGTCAAATTTTGTTTAATTTCCAATAGTTAAAATTTTAGTTGTTATTTTATCAATTATAACACCTGATGGGTAAAATGATCCTAAAACTTAACAATTTATTGACATTGTTTATCAAATGGAGAAGCCTAATATAATATGACGTGTATTTTATATCGTAAGTAACTATGATCAGCAATTAACTTTAATTAGTAAGTATCCATGACTAGTAGGTAACTATGATCAGTAACTAACTATGACTAGTAAGTTTTTATGACCTATACGTAACGCTGAACATTAAGTATCTATGACCAGTATGTAACTATGATCAGTAAGTATCAATGAACATTAAGTAACAATAATCAGTAATTAGATATGGTCAGTTATTAACTATGATCAGTAATTAACTCCGAACAGTAAGTATCTATGGCCAGTAAGTAACTATAATCAGCAAGTAGCTATGATCAGTTTATAACTATAATCGGTGAGTAACTCTAAACAGTAAGTATCTATGACCAGTAAGTATGTATGATCAGTTACTAACTTTGAACACTAATAAACAATGACTTGCAACTTTTGTAAGAACACATTTCTGAGACGTGGCCAGCAGCAGTCACTTCGTTCCGGGGATGTTAGAACGAGTTGGGAACCATTTGCACACTTGTGCGAGATGTGTTTTGGAACAAATTTAAGAGGAAGATAATTGATTAAAACTATGCAGTTATTCTTCTATATCATTTAGTCAGTATATAAATCGGAGCATGCCAAATCGGTGGACTATATACATATATACATATATATACCTGACATAGGAACCATCAGACGATTTAAGGAACTATGATCAGTAATTAACTATGAGAGGTAAGTAACTCTGAACAGTAAGTATCAATTAACATAAAGTAACTATAATCAGAAAGTAGCTATGATCAGTTAATAACTATGATCAGTAATTAACTCTGAATAGCAAGTATCTATGACCAGTTAGTATCTATGACCAGTAAATATGTTTGATTAGTTACTCACTTTGAACACTAATAAACAATGACTTGCAACTTTTGGAACACAACACAATTCAGAGACGTGGCCGGCAGCAGTCACTTCGTTCCGGGGATGTTAGAACCAGTTGGGAATCATATGAACAGATGTGCAAGATATGTTTTGGAACAAATTTAAGAGGAAGCTATTCGATTAAAACTATCCAATTATTCTTCTATATCATTTTACTAGTATATAAATCGAAGCATGGCAAATCGGTGGACTATATATATACATATGTATATATATATACAAAAAATTATAACATTTCCAGCTTTCGCCAGATTTGCATCAAAGTTAATATAAGGCCATTATATATATATCTATAATTTTTTGTTTAATTTTATGCAAATCGGAATACTATATCATATAGCTGCCATACAAACGATCGTTAAAAATAGAGGAAAATTGCAAAACTGTGAATGTCAAACTGTAAATATAAAATGTATAGGTGAATGAATTGAAAACAGGAATTTCCTCATTGTTTTTTTTTAAGTTAAGTATATATATTTTATATTGCATTAGTGATTGAATTTCAATCTGCAAGGGTAAACAAACTTCGGCTTGCCGAACTTAGCATTCTTTCTTGTTTTCATTTAAAAATAATAATAAATATTGATTCAAAGAATGAGAATATTTATGCTAAGTTATGATCGATTTGCGATTCGATCCTATAATTTAATGGCAAACTGCAAGGGTACATAATCTTTAGCTTTCCGAAGCTAGTTTTCTTTTTAGTTTAATAATGGTAAAATAGGAACTTATTATATTTAATTAGTAATACCAAAGACTTTATAACTTATACATCTTTGGTAATACTTCAATTGAGTTTACCTACGTTCCTTCAATTCTATATTTCGCTTAGAAGTATGCTACAAAATTGTTGAAATTTTGATGTAGAATATTTTGTATGTATTTTATAGAGTAAAACATATACATTCTTTATACAAAATGCGATTTCTTGGCAAGGTGTCAGGAAATATTAGTTAGTTCTCCTCTTCGCAGGCATCGATCCAATCATTGAAGACGTCAATTGGTTGCGATAGGAGATTGATGGACGTCTGATATGCTTCCATGCACACAGTGCAGGTAACACGTCCTATTTTTCGTCCCTTATCCCTAAGATTGTTCAGTTAATAGAATTTTCGTCATATATAGAGAGTAACACATACATTTTCACTTCGCAAGCTTGTTTGTGATTGCAGAAAGGACAATCGAACAGTACAGGCAGAGACTCAATAGCCTTTCGTCGTGGCGGACCCTTGCGTTTGGACTTGCGACGACCCATTTTTTGTTTTTTATAATTTTTCAAACAACTTGATATTCGAAATGAAATAAAATTTCTTTAGGAAAAATTATATGCCAAGTAGAGTCTGGACGGTTAATGAATGTTTCGAGAAAGTTAACAAACAAGACAAGAAAATGACTTTAAATTCAGAGGTTCCTTTGATTGCATTTTTGAAATACTACATTTAGGGAATTTTTAGAGTAAATAAAATAGAAGAAAATGTTTGAAGTTTAAAAAAAAATGTAGCTGTTTACTTAATTAAATTTGGTGTCGTGGTTAAATATATACCAAGATGTTTATTATATTCGTACTATCAATTTTGTAAACAAGGGTTATTTACCTACAAAATAAACACAATTAATAGTTAATATCACAACACGTGTCGGAAGCGTAATTAAACATATGTCTTAGTATTCTTATAACATTTGTATTTATTAGTACAAACCCACTAAATTGATTCCGCGTATCTCCTAAATAGGCGAAGGTATAAAAGAAGCAATCATTTCTAGAAAGTTTTAAGACCTTGTCGAGCTAGCAGCAATATACAATCGGAATGAAGTTCTTCAGTTATATCTTCTTTCTTGTGAGTTATGAAATATAGTATATATTTAATTGAAATTACAAATCCTAATTTTATTATTATTTATTTTTCGCCTAAGTGCCTTATTTTGGCCCCTTCAGATCAGATCCTAGTTTCGATTGAGCACACGTAAAAAAAACAAATTAAATTATACTACCCCCAAAAATTATAAAGGAATTATATATTTTATTAATATATTTTAATAATATATTTCCATAGGTTAGGCTGTTTTTAATATATTCATGTGTATACCGGATCCGTTTGAGGAGGAGCAGGAAGCGGAGTCAGATCCTAATTTGATTGAGCACACGTAAAATAGCAAATAAAGTTATACTACTCCCAAAATGAACAAGGAATTATAATATTTATTAAATTTTTAAATGATATATATTCGTAGGTTAAGCTGTATTTAAAATATTCATGTGTATTTTATTATACAAGCCATATCCATAGGTTCAATGCATTATTTGCTCAAGGTTTTAATATCAAAAGGCATTCCCATTATATATCAAACTGTATAAATCTTCAATTTAAATTTGTTTACTTAACTATCCTGTTTTTGTTTGAGGTTTCCACTCCACGAATTTCAGTTTTGATATTGATCCGTTTTGGAGGCTGAGGATCCTCAATTGATTGAGCCCACATAAGCTGAGCGCATCTGTCTAGACATCCTTTTTAAAGATTCTCTTCATTTACGTAACTCAATGTAGCAGAAAATCCCATTGTCCCTGCCAATCGATCGTAAGACTGCCTTTGGGGCAGAGTATCGATTACACAATTCTTGAATAATATGGCGCTCGACGACGATGTGGGTCAAGTGTTTGAATTCAGCTGAAGGTAAGTAAAAGATATCCATAGATATGGAACCAAAACGAAATGCTTTCAAGATACCGAATTTTCTCTGGCTAAAACGCCGCAGGACGAGACTCTGCGATGACAGCTCAATAACTGGAGTGTGTGAGGGATATTTTTTTTTCCATTTTTCGTGTCACAGCATGAACTTCGAAATGGTCCTGGCATTGGGATGCCTGCTGCTTAACATATTAGCACCAGGACATTAGGGAAGCGAAGGGGACAGCTGAAAGTGTCAACAGTTTTTGCCAAAAACGCTGTCGGCGAGTTGTGAGCCCGAAATCGGTTCCCAAAGCCAGCATGAAATCTGTACTAAAGTTGGCAGCAGGATGCCGCCGTTGCCTCGCAGGATGCCCAGCTGTTGGCAATATTTTATATATATATACACGTATATATCTTCCTTTTTTTATTCCATTCGCCATGCCTTTTTTTCGATATTTTGCCAGAGTTTCTTTTCCGCCAAATGGGATTAATTTGAGCCGCGAGCGGAGTGCAGCCTTAAGACTTTGCTTCCGTTTTCCGGCTATTGTGCCTCGGCTGATGCTGATGCTGATGCTGCTGCTGCTCCTGGCGGCTAATCTCTTTGGCTCACATCTTGGCCAGCAGCTGCTCCTCACCGTTTGCCTTTTGTGGCTTGACCATTTCGCTTTGTTCGTTGCAACTTCAATGCCCGGCCGCCTCATGTCCTTTGTCCTTATTGTCCGTTCATTTGCTTAAACGCATCTTATCCTGTTAAAATGTGCACGGCTTCGGCTTTCCTTTTTCCCTGGAAAATTGATCTTTTTTGCAAATTTCCTTCTCGGCTGCCGGTCTTTTGCTCTTTTCAGAGGGCACTCTCTTGAGTGCTCACTAATTGAGATTTTCCTCCTTTTTAGAAATGTTCGTTTTCTTTTCCTTTTTGCCATTTTGGTAATGCAATACACGAGTTCCGCTTTCAAGTCGACGACAATTGTTCTTTTTTTTTTGTGGTGATTTCAAAGAAAAGTTTTTAGCGAAAATATCCTGTATTGTATGGTATTTCTTCGGTTAATCCTTGAAATATATATATTTTGTTAAAGAAAGTTATAGTTTGTTGAAGAATATTCCACACATTTAATGGATACACACTTTTTTGGAGCACTTTACTAGGTTTAATAAGTTACTATTTAATTATCTTTTGCTTTCAATTACGTGCCCCATTTATACAATATTAAATAAATGACAATAAACCAGCTCATTGACAATAATTCCACACCTGAGGGATTCACCAACGAAGCGTTAATTAAAAAAAAACAACAATTTAAATAGAAAATAGCTGATCAGACCATAATCATAATTGTTCGGCCAATTAAAGATTCTAAAAGCCATAAAATTATTATTATTTAGATCTTCTCTGTGTTCATGGATAATGTTTAATTCCGAATCCAATTCGAGTTCCATTTCCATGTTTCCATGGCACACGCAGCGCATTCATAACAATATTTCATCAAAAATTCAAAGCAGCCCCCTACTAAGCAGCGAAAAAAACACGATTATTAATTAAAATTCCCAAATCAAAATCAAATTACGAGTAAAACACAATAAAAAACAAGAAACATGAATAAATTCCCCCAAAACAGAAACGAATAAATATATTTTTTTGAAAAGGAGGATGGGTCCAAGGGGCAGAGCGCGTTGGCAGCCTGTCGCCAGTGGCTTCCGTCGCCCAACTTCTAGGAATTTCTGTAGCGGGAAAATGTGCTCGGAAAATGCATATATTATAATCAAATTAAATTATGCATAATTTCCCCGCTGTTCCTGTTGCCTGCATTTAAACCAAAGTAGCTCCAGACCCATAAAACTGTCATAAGGCGCTGCCAACGAAATCGAGAGGCGGAGGCCACAAGGAATCTGGCTGGAGTCGTGCTCCTTGGGGGGGGGACACACATATGCAAGGAAGACCTTTCTGGATATTTAATTAGGAGAGAGGGATAAGTCAACAATAGAGTGCATATGATTTTGGGAAAGATAAACTGGAGAAAATGTCTGGGAAATATATTTAATAAATGAGAAAGACTAAACTTAGGCCTTAAATTTAGTCTTAGGGATGTCTTCTCTCAAGAGAATTTAAAGTTAATATAATGAATATAATAAAACACTTTACAATATAGTTTACACTATTTAATTTGAAATATTTCATACACCTTACGATGTTTAATCCTATATAATCTTTTAAGTGAAGATTCCTATGCTTACCTCACTTTTCTTCACAGTGTAATAAATAAATTTCCATAAATAAAAAATGTTTTTGTGCTCAATTAGCGTATAACATTGTCATAACCATCCACCCGGCGCCCTAGCCTCAGGTCGGGATCCAATATTATCCCATCCTCATTTCCATTCCAATCCCAATCCCAATCCCTTAATGAATCCCCAATGTGCGTCCTCTGATCAACAGGTAAAAACTGTTTTGATATGCGGCAGAAGGACCATCGGTGCCTGAGCGGGAATAATGCTCATTTTCATTCGTTTTCGTTTCGTTGGAAAATTATGTTTGTGCCCGGGGCATAGTTTTTCCCCCCATTTTCCATATCTACCTCCGGTTGGTGCGCGTGGCGCGATTTAAATTATGATGACGCCAAGGCGCCTCCACGACCTGACTGGTGGGTCTTCATTTCCCGCCCGTTTTCATTTTGAATTTTAAATTGCACTTTAACAAATATTTTAAATATATATTTAAAGTATTTAAAAATATAACTACAAGTGTCTTGAAAAATATTCTATATAAACTTCAAGCTTTAAATGACATGAATACTCGTTTTAATACAATTCAAGAAAGATAAAAAAATTGAACAATCAGATTAATTTAATACAAACTATGCTCAAGGCATAGTCTTGTATATTTTCTTTAATTTAATTGCAGCATTTAACAAATACTTTATTAATATAATACTCTCTATATATTTCTCCTAGTGCCCTGTGTGCAGGGAACAGGAAAGGATAACAAGGTGGGCCGGCGCTTCCATGGAACTATAAATTTTCCAGCTCATGATTACGCCGGGAGAAATAATAATTGGTCAGGAGCTGCAGCAGGAGCAGCTGCCCGGTAATCTTATCAAATATTTGACAATAACCCAATTAGTAACCACCTACAGAAGGATCGAGACGGTAGGAATGAAAGGACAACATCCGAAAGACAAACAAACATTGCGCAAAAAAGGCTCGTTTTTTTTCGAGAAATGCTACCAGGGAAGCTGACAAGGAGTAAGACATCAGTCGATATGAAGACGCAGCTGCAAAACGAGGACAATAATGTCAGGTCCGAAGTCAAAAGATGCTCGCGTCAACCATAAAACTAGCCGACCTGGACAATGGAGATAAGGCAGAGGACAGGACCTCCGCAGGAGGGACATCTTTTAGCAGGATTCCAGGCAGTCAGCCCGGCAGCCTGGCAGGCCTCTAATTTGTGAAACTTGCCTCCAGTTTAGAAGACGCAACGGGCAGTCCCATATAATATAAAAGAGCATTCCCTCCTACTTGCCATGACATTTGAGATTTTGCAGTCGATGATTTTCAATGCTGGACATTGTAGAGTTTCAATTCTATAGATTCTTGATCCTCGATCCCTGTGTCGTGTGGATCGAAAAAAGCGCAATTGAAAAGCCACAAAGGGAGCCGAAAATTTGCCATAATCATGACATTTTGTTCGTCTTTGTCTTTTGATGCATTTTTCTAAT